CAAAAGCGCCATTGCATAAGAAACACTTTTTAGCTTCTAAATGTTTAATTTCATCTAAATCTGACATAATCATATCTTTTGGATTTTTCATTTGTTTCATTACATCGTCTCTAATATTGTTTAATGTATCACAAAATTTATCCATACAATCTTCGCGTCTATATAAAAATGGTTTCATTTCTCCACTATAAGCATTAACAAAGTTAAGCATATAACCGCTGGGTTTATGGTTCTGATAAGTCCCTTTGATGCCTTCTGATGTTTCTGTTGTTAAACATTCAAAATCACCGTAAATAACAAATGGTGCTTTCAGTTTCTTAAAATGCTTTTCAAACTTCATTGATGTTCCTTCTTCTGGCATTTTTGTTTGTTGAATGTCATTTGCCATACAACCTTTTATTAAGTGCGAATTTAAAAGTTTTTCTGTTGTAAAACCGTGCTGGCAGTATCTGCAACAAAAAGTTTTTCCTTTGTATTTATTAACTTGACTACCCATTAATCTATTATAATCTTTTATTAAAACATAATGTTCATTATCATCTTTCAATTCGTAATAGATTGATATGACAAGATGGTCTTTCAATCTTCGTTATTCTGTCTGCTCTGATGGTTTGGTTCTCATCTTCAACATAAACATTAACTGATATAGAATTTTGGTTAATTGTTTCAAATGTGTCAATGTCATCGTTGGATGCTGGAAAATTCACACCATCCCATTTAATTAGACTTTCAGTAGTTATTAATTTCTTGTAGTGTCTCATATGCTGTGGATGGTCTTTCTTGAAGACTTCATAAAATTTACATAAAACACAATATTTAAAACATAATTCATAATCATTTTGAATGTTGATACATGTTTTGTTCTTTGAAATCCATTCTGGTAGTTCCATATATTTACCTGCTCTGTTCGGGTTGTATTTGTCGTAGTGGATGGTGATTTTGTTAATCTTATTAATCTTCAATCCTGAATGTTTCAAAGGTGAGTTTTCAATTTGTAGTTCAATATCTTTAGGTATATTTTCCAATGCTTTTTTCAAGTCTCCTACATTCAAAATGTTGTATCTCCTACTCCTCATATTGTGTTTTATTTGTATATTTTCCTCAGTTGGTTCGTCTTCTCCATCATCATCTTGCTGGTTAACTTTATCAAACAGAACCTCAACATCAATCAGTAGTTTCATTGATTTTGCTTGTTGTAAAAACTCTGTTAATTTATTTTCTTGCCATAAAAGATATGTTAATCCTTTGTATCCCTTGAATGGTATGTTGGATATTGAATATGTGTTGGCGTACCCTTTCAATGCTGAAAATGTCTCTGATGTTTTTGCTCCTATTTTTAATCTGTATTTCTGGATTGTTTTAATGCCTCTCATTGTGTTTGATGCTTTTTTTAGAAGATGAAATCGTTTGAAACCTTGTGTGTTGCTGACTTGATTGAGTTTGTTTTGAAGTGATGAGGATAATGGTTTGTCTTTGTTGTAATAGTATTCTTTGTTGTTGATGATTAGTTTTTTCAATGGTTTGTTATTCTTCCCTGTTTTTATTTGACCTTCATTATTGGATATTAAATATTCAATTACTGAACCCGTGCTGTATTCCCCTGCCATTTCTCTATACTATATAAGGTATTTTCTCTTTAAGTCCTTTTGGGGGGCGGGTTTGGGGGTGGGTCTGGGTTTGAGGTTATGGATGTTGTTGATGTGAGGGTTTAGGGAACAACCCGAAAAGAGTTTGGGAGGACACCCCAAAAACGAGTTTGAGGGACAACCCCAAAAGAGTTTGGGAGGACACCCCAAAAACGAGTTTGAGGGACAACCCCAAAAGAGTTTGGGAGGACACCCCAAAAACGAGTTTGAGGGACAACCCAAAAAAAAAACGAGTTTGGGTGAACACCTGAAAAATAAACACACTGAGAGCCCACCACCGAAGAAGTCCTCATCGTCATCAACCTGGCGGGCGACAGATGCTTTTCGTGACCCTTCACAAAAAAAGATGGTGGACACATCAAAGGTGCAATCGGTCTTTTTCATGTTTAATCTCTTTGAGATTGACGGCAATCCCTTTTTAAAGGGCTTTGATTAAATGTAGGGTTGAAAAAGCAACGGATGCTACAACCCACCAATTAGAGCAACCACAAAATACCATTCACGGATTTCTGTGAATGAATGTGTTTTTTTCACGGGTTTCTGTGAAATGATTTCACGGGTTTCCGTGAATGAATGTGTTTTTTTCACGGGTTTCCGTGAATGGTCAAGATTGCTCTTTAAATCTTACATAAGGGCACAATTTGCACCCTCACGCTCATTTGGTTCATTTGAACCACTACCTCTCAATCGCCTCCTATAACTGCTGATTTCTTCCAAGAGACACTTGAAAGCGTCAATGTTGTAATTGACATTGTTCCCGTGTTCTGAATGGAACTCACGAAGGAAACACTCAATGAAGACCTCCAAAATTTGAGATTTGAGCACAAGCAGATACTCCCGCCATTCATCCACCTGTTCAAACTCCTTGACAACGATGGCGGCAACCTCATAAAGTTTGTCTTCGTTGTATGCTGACCTGCCCTTGAAGACATTCTTGACCCGTTGAAGTTGGTTATCATCAAGAGAGTTCAAGATCTCCTCAACCACACTGCGACCTTCAACAAGATGAGAGCGAACATTTTGAAGTTGGTCAATAATGGGTTGACAAGCTGATGACAAAGGCGCTGGCATTGTCATTGTTTCATTTTGTGGTTGTAGTTCAGCGTGTCTCTCCTTCATCTTCTTCAAAGAAGACTTCGTCACATCCTTCATCACAGCCTCCTTGCTCTTGAAGTAGCGGTTGATTACACCACGATGGCGAGCCATTCCACAAGATGAAGCAAACAGCAAAGAGGGACACCGAGGTTCAGCCAAAACGCTGTGTGAGACAAAGCACATCAATGGTATGACGAGACAATGGAAGTCAACAGTGTGATTACATTGGATATTGAAGAGACTCTTTTTCAACTGGCATCTGTTTGTGAAAGCGGTTTCCTCCCTACCCAAGCAACTGCCATTTGTCGCAACCTCCCCAATCAACACAGCTGTGAGGTTGTTCAGATTAACATATACTTTGAGAGGGGGTACAGCGACCAGACATTGGCAAGTTCAACCTATTGCTCACTTCTCATCAGTTGGGCTCATTGCTAATGATGGAGTCATTTTCTCCGTCGGAAGCCTCATCATCATCGTCATCAACGGCGGCATCATCAACGACGATTTCCTCCGCTGCGAAGTGCTTCTCGTAGATGTTGTTGAGCTGGCTGGTAATGCCATCAGAGAAGGAGACATTGAAGACATGCGACATGTCATTGTGCTTTACCACACTTCCAAACAGGGTGCGAGGGTGACGAACAATGGTGTTGCCGCCGAAGGACAAGTTGAGCTTCTTGAACATGGAGTTGGTCAACTTCAAGTTGAACTTTGCGAGCTTCCGGTTAATGACCTTAATGATGGCCTTGTAGACCTCCGACAGAGTGCTGCCGAAAGAAACCTGCAAGGACATAGTGAAGCCTGTGCCTGTAATCGAGAAGACAAGTGTGTGCTCCTTCATCTTGTTCTCTTCCTTCTTCTGTGAGTTGCGGGTTGTGACCTCTTTTTCAATCAACTTCTGGTGGGCAATGATGTTCGCCGCTTGTTGTTTCATCCTGTCATTAACCTCAACGAGTGTCTCGGTTGAACTCCCTGACAGCGAAGTTGGTATCTCATCAAGTTCCATCGCAATCAAGCGGACAATCAACGCCTCTGTCTCGGCATCGACAGCATCCTCGTTGATGGTATTGTATCCCATCTTTGGTGCCATTTTGGAGCACACGAGCGCGGCACACTGCTACACTTTCAATCTTGCTATTGAGCTGACAGGTCTGTTGGAACATCTTTCACAACATGCAAAGCGCACAGTGAGACAATATTGACTGCATAAACAAGCAAGGTGCACCTTTTGTTGATGACGAACAAGATGAGCACATAAAAAGAAAGAAACACACACTACACACAGACCCACCCAACCCAAGAACCGCCCTTGAAGTCGACAGCAACGACCATAAAGTTCAGGATGAGCGACCTGCGAGGAGCGAAGTCGCGTTGTGAAAACAATCCTTGTTATATCAACATTTGTAACAGAAACACTTGTATTCCCCCAGAAAGCCTTAAAATTGTCTGAAACCCGAACCTTGAAAATGTCAATATCTTAGACTGTTTCATAATGAAAAAATTGTAAAAATGTTGAGAAAATTTAGGAAAATTCCCCAAAACCCCTATTTGTGTTTTGGACAAAATGGTTTGCTTGTTTAATTTCTTCCCTGAACCCTGAAGCCCCAACTTGTAAATACCCTACCCCAGACCCCCTATTATAACCATTTTTTGTGGGGGGGCGGGGCAAATGGGTGCCTGGATCCCACTTAAACAAGGGTAATATCCACTAGTTTGTTTATTGTTGTTTTGTTTTTGGGAACGAAAATTTACCTTTTTTTTATGGGTAGTCTGAGGGTCCAGGTGTGTCTCTTTATGGGAGGGTCCCTAAACAAGACACAGCCAACACAACAAGTGATCGCTGTGTCTGTCCTCAGTTCCAGGACTTGAGACCCATGAAGCGTTGGTTGCTTCGGCGAAGTCTCCGAACCGTTTAGGCAACCAAGCTTCCGGTACCAACATGTCGTGCTGGCATGCGAAGCTTTCTTGATGTTTCATTGGATCAAAAGCTCATAGACGTGGGACTTCTTTCTGTTCGGGTGTGGGTCAAAACCGTTTTGGGATCCCATTTTGGGGATTGGGTGAATTCACCACCCATTTTAGGACCTATTTTAGTGGTTGGATTGGTTGAGGTTCACTGCGGGCACGATTTGGCTTTTGACCCATGGCCATGTATTGTTTGGGATCAGCAGGAAGAGCACCATGGTCAAAGCGATGGGCCAAAGAGGCCTCGAGGCTGGAAGAGACCAGAAAACTGCAGTCCCGCGGGTGTCTCCTCCAGGAATGGTCAGGCCAGTTCCTTTTGCCACCTTTAAAAGCCGTACCAGGACGAGTGCCACCTTCAAAGCCGTACCAGGAAGAGTGCATGAGTTGGGGAGAGTCCAAGCAGCCCGGGGCCCTCGCAAGCCCTCCGAGGTGAGAATGACATCCTGTGCGTCAAGCAAGCCGGCATCGCTCCGCACTTGGGGACGAGGATTTTTTTTAATATCACGGGCACCCGTGTTCTGCTAGGTTCCTTTTACCGCCTTCAAAGGGACCGCTTTGGAGATGTTTCAATATATGTCAAGTCAATATATTGTTTGAGCATCATTTGTCCAACGGTAGATCCAGGGTGAAGCTGAACAGCATGCACTCGCGACTTGAGCCATCTTTTCATGTTACCCCTGGGAATCATTTAGTCTCACTCACTGAGTTCCTGGACCGTATACTTGTTGGGAACACGTTTTAGTGGTAAACACATTATCTCCCTGAACCCCAAACTCGCCTTAAACATGAGATCTTGCCCCCAAAGTGCGCTCCTTTTTTTTTTGGCGAGTAGGTTGAGGGTCTTCACTTTGGTCGACTCGTTTGGTCGACTCGGTTGGTCGACTCGACTCGTTTGGTTGCAACTCCACTCAGAAGTTTTTGCGCGTCGCCGAGTTGCCGAGGCCGTGCCGTCCTTGTCGGAGGTGCTCAAAGGCTCCAAGGCCCGTCCGGTTTGGAAGCCAGCGGCATCCAATTCACAGAATGAGGTCCAGGCATCTCTCCCAGCGAATCGTCCGGTTCCTTAGGGTTAACTTAGGGCTTCAACGCAAATCCCCAAAAGGAACGTCGCCAACTCTTCGTTCGGATGCAGACAGCGGAGTCAAAAAAACGGACTCTCAGCATGAAAGCTCTAGGTTTGAACCGTTTGCCTGAGACTTGCTGGGTTCCATGGCGTGAAAAAAGCGAAGCATCCAGGGGAAGCAGATCTGTGGATAAAAACAACAACGATTTTTGGTCGCCTGTGATAAGGGAAGCTCAAGTGATGTTCAGTCGGGATGGCAACTTTGGTATCACAGAAGTGGTGTTTTGTTTTAGGTTTCAGGTTTTTGGCATTGCTCGTTTTTAGTAGGGGCTGCAAACCGAAAGCTGTTTGCTACCAAACCAAAAAAAGTTGACTACGGAGCATCCTTTGCCAGGGTGCCATCGTCATTCCTTCCCTCAAGGAGGCGCTCCGAGAGAACGTCGTCTCGAAAACTGCAGAGCTCGGAGCCAACAAAGCATAGCGAATGCATAGCGACAAAGACCCGAGACATAAATGAGTCCAATTGATATACATATATACATTTAAATATACATAAATTCTGCATACAGATCTTGACACAACATTCATATCGCTAGAGGGCTGCTTCCCTTTGATTTACATGTGCGTACCATAGCACTTACTTTAAACTTTGACAGATCCCTGAATTGGACCCGTTTTCCGCGCATTTCCCCCTGGCTGGGTTTCATGTAAGTGGCACTTAGACGAACCAAGTACCTCCACCTGAGAAGCATGCCCTGAAACATTGTATTTGGGTAAGAGAGGCACACTGGGAAAACAAAATCGGAACTGACCCTGGCACCTTATGTAGCCTGGCGTTGACACATGAAAATAGAACTGAGTACCTCTCCTCCGTTTTTTTTGACACCAGGCCATGTCCTTAGTCCCGACGCCCCCTTGCGTCTGATTTTCCAAATCAGACGCGGAGTCGGGGCACGCTGGGCGCAAGACCACCTCTGGTAGAAACCTGAGTTTGCTTCTATGTGCACACGGATTCCCTTTAAGGTCAACCACCAAAGACGGGTGTCCTTTTTTTCCATGACCTCTGCATGGGAGTCTTGGGGGTCAGTTCTTGCCTACGCACATACTTGATTGATGTCAACTCGCTGGGGAAGGCGACGGGGGTCGGAATGGTGCCACCTGGATGCGCTCTCTTGGATTTATGGCCTAGCGGATGCCATGCTTGAGCTCCTTTGGTTACCTGGCATCGCCACAAACACTCATTGTTTTGATCAATGTCGTTTGACAAAACTACAACATTCGTCTGCAGCGTCAACCATCAGTTTTTTTCAGTTCTGGTGGAGTCTCCTTTTGGGTTGAACCCTCCTGTGGTAAATTGTTGCCGGGCACCTCGAGCGACGAGTTCTCGTCAGGCGCTGACCAAGCCGGAGGCCAGCGAGGTAAAGGAGCCCAAGGCTCAGCTAGAAGAGAGCGCCAGCGCGCAGCTTGCGCAAGGCCGGGCTCGGCGTTGGTCTTTTGGCATGGCATTTTTTGGGATGTGTGCATGTGTCAAAATAGGATGTGTCAAAATAGGAAAGACCCCACAAATGGAGGTTTCCTTTGGCTTTTCAGTGAGCCTGAAAAGCACCTACCTATTTTTGTTTTTGGAAGAGCACCGAACCAGCAAGGGCACAAGGGGCCTACGAATCCCATGCCCGGGGCGCTGAAACGCCGCTCGGGCCGGCACCTGCGGGGTTGCCTATGCCTATACCTTTGGTTTGGTGGGACGAAAGTCGGCGCGGCTTCGATACTGGGAGTTTCCGGATGTGTTTCAAGCTATCTGTCTTAGGGGACCTCCTGCCATCGGTCACCAAGCAGCCCTTTGTGGCAACGAAAGAATCGCGGAACCCCCCCAAACATGGCAGCGGATATCACCAATACTGAAGAGTATGTTTTTCTTTGGGGAACTTGTTTTACTCGGGAGCCGGGGGGGGATTAACTCCCCCCTTACCACAAGTGATTTTGGTTCCTCCAAAGTGAACTGCTTCCCCTAAAACTTGTCATGCATCTCTTTTGTTGCTAACACCACAGTTCAGCTACCAGCATCGGAACACTAACTTTGTTCATATCGATTAGGTCCCCCAGTCGTGCCCTTCTCTCCCCTTTTTTGGTTGGGAGGGTTCCCCTACTAAAATAGACTACCGAAAAAAGAAAAAAATCGGGCACCCTTACTCCGGCCTAAGTCTACTGCAAGACCTGATTGAGGTACCAAGATTCTTGGGGCAGTACCCAGGTGCCGGGGGGGGCTGTGGGGCTGTTGGGGGGGGGGCTGTGGCGTTCTTCGGCCAGGTGAGCCTCTCCCCGTGCCTGTGCGCCAGCCCGTGTGCTACGAGGCCGCAGCCCCGGGAACCTTCGATACCAATGTTGATCCCATATTCATCAAGCCCGAGTTGAGGGGGGTGTCCCTTTTAGTGGGGAATCATCACGTTTGGAAGGGGAACGCCATATTCATAAACTGAGGTTGATTAATGTGGATCCAAAGGTGTTCATGGTATTCGCGTGGGTTTCCAAGCCATTCATCGATATGACACCCATTGACACCCTTTCTGGGAACCTCCAAACGAGGCGGGAACTACCAACAAAGAATGGTTTCAATTCCCATGGTTTCAAAGTGCAGAAGTTCGTGCACAGTATTTCCGCAAGCCATATTCGCACGGGTCTCCGAGCCAAGCCCTTTTCGGAACCTCCAAAAGTGGCGATCGTTTCAAGGAAACCACCAGTAAATGGATGAACTGGAGAAGGGGAAATCCAGTGAGCCCGGTATTCGATTCAAGTATTTCCATGAACACTTGAGGCCTCCAGCGCTGCCAAGGTTGTTTGGGTTCCTTGGGTTCCTTAGGTGAGATTGCTGACACTGCAACATGGCAGAAGCAATCTCACCAAGGAAATCGACAACTCACACTCTGAGGACTAGAGGTGCAAGAGCTACAATGTGATTTGTTTGGCTAGGTCCCCCAGCTAGGTGCCCTTTCTCACCCCTTTTTTGGTTGGGAGGGTTCCCCTACTAAAATAGACTACAGAAAAAAGGGTACCCTTATTCTAAACTCTCTACTGGAGGACCTACCTAGTTGGTTTGCACCTGCAATTTTTGCCATGTCGACTTGGTGTATCAACCTTTCGGATTAACAACGTGGCCCTTGGCACTTGGGTCGATCTCCTTAGGCAACACAAAATCCACAAAACAGTCAAAACCGGGCCCCTAGAGATTGGAGATCTTAGGACCTGGAAGACGCCGCAGACTCAGACTCGAAGTGGGGACTGCCGTTAGTGCGGAGAGAGCTGGGTATGCGTCTTTTCTGGAGTTGGTACCCGTTTTGTTGTTGGCTTATTGGGAGCTCGACAGGAAAGCCGGAATTTTGGGGGTCTCATGTTGACTCATACCCACATGGAGTTGGCTTAGAAGCCACCCTGTTGGTCAACACAGCGCGCTTTGAATGCTGGGGCAACGCGATTTCTCAGTGTAGCTGAGTGTAGCTTGGTTGTTTCTGGCAGTTTTCCTATTTGATACTGGCCAAACTGCTTTGCATGCACGTTTGCAGCAACAGGCATGGTATCGTGAACGCCTCATCATGCAAACACCGTTTAAGCAATTGAGTTGTTCCATGCTGCACCCTTTTTGCCAGCAGAACCTTATGCCTGACATCATGAACCCACCACCCCAGCTACCATTTTGAGCTCTTCACCAGACTGCTTCCGGCATCCACGCTCATGTTTCCGGCCAAGGATGCGCCAACACCCTCCGCGCCCTCCGCGCCCTCCGCGCCCTTTGCGCCCGTGGACGCCACGGAAGCTGCGGAAGTCGCGGGAGATGCGGAAGCGGACTCGCCACAGGCGGAGAACGAAGCAGTTTTCATCGCGAAGAAGTCTGTCCGGGTTACTGGTTCAGTACTTGGCGGCTCCCAGCCATCCGGTTCCTTAGCCTTTTAGCCTTTTAGTGTTTAGTGGTAGTTTCCATTTAAGCCACTAAAAGTTAAACTTTTAGCGGGGGATCTGAGGGCAGCCCAGAGTAGTGTTTGCACAGTTAATGCAAAGGGTTGTGAATGTTTCAAGATGCTTGTTGTTGTGAGCACATTATGCGTGGTTGATGCTTTAGTTTAGCATCATCAGAGTACACTTCATAGATGTCGATCTTGCGTGCTTGAACTTTCAGCTTCAAGCGCCAATAGCAACTGCACCTGAACCCATCTCTAGACATAGTCCTTTCATTCGGTTCCATTCCGCTCCCTGCTTCTGCTGTCTCCTATGTTGCGAGTCTCACTATCTCTGTCTCTGTCTCGCTCATTCTCTCTCTCTCTCTCTCTTTTCTCTCTTTTCTCCCTTTTTTTCGCCAACAGCTGAAAGCTTTGGGGTCTCAGCCCAGATAGGCTCTGGGGTGGTCCGGGGCGGCCCTGAGGAAGGCTCCACGAGAGTTTCACCAGGGTTCCACCAGGGTTCCACGAGGTTCTGCGAGGGCTCTGGGGTGGTGCGAGCACTAAAAAGAACACCGCATGCTGTTGGGGATATCACCTGAGCCTTTTTTTTTTCTCTCTCTCTCTCTCTCTCCCCCAGGGTTGTCGCAAGCCAACGAGCTATGACTAGGCACTACGGGAAAGTGCCAAAGGCTGATTATTTTCTGGCCTTCTTCCAAACACATCCAACCGGAGAACGCGATTCTGTAGCGTGTTCCCGTGACAAACCGGGAGGACGAACCCCCCCACATGCACCAATGCTGGGTGATGCGTGTCTAGCGCCATTCCGACCTTTGCAACTAGATAGCCACTGCAAGATCACACCCAAAACGAGTCGCCATTGCCAGTCGGTTTGACCACAAGGAGTTGGCCCCTCTAGAGCAGTCGACTCGACTCGAGGAGTGCCTTGGATTTCCTGGGCTCGACCTCAGGCCGTGCTTGCCGATGATTCAATACAGGGCCATCTCCCAATGATCCTTCCTTCCTTCTCCGGGGAAAGGGAAGTAATCATCCACCCCCACCCCCCCAACCCCAACCCCACCCCCCACCCCCCACCCCCCACCCCCCACCACCCAACCACCCCCCACCACCCAACCACCACCCACCCACCCTCCGCCCCCCACCCCCCACCACCCAGCCCTCAGTTGGATCTCGTGTTGGTCAATTCGCGTGTCGCCAGGTGGACCACAACCGCTTAGCCTTGGCTCTGAACCGCCTCGCCAAGGACTCCAAGCGAAGGGCCCGGGCGCCAAGCTGGGGAGGGAGACTTGGGTGTCCCCAGATGGGCGGCTCGGCTTTTTTGTTCGGGGACCCCAGAAATTGGTGGTTTTCCTGTTGGTTTCACTTCAAGACCACCCAAATTGGTGATTTCCTGTAATTTTCCTGTTGAACCAACGCAAAAGGGATACCAACCCCCAAAAAAGGAACACCCAAATCTACCAAACGAAAAGCCTCGAATCCGTGGCTGGTCGAAGAAGTGCCGAATGGATGGTTTTCCTCTTGGTTTCTCTGTAGCATGTCTGCAAAGATAGACCCAGAGAACCCACCTGGAGTCTCCACGACCCTTTACAAATAGGTCTATGACCCCATGATGTGAAGTAATGACCCCAGTTTTTAAGGGTCATGGAGACTCCAAGCACATAGAATGACTTTCTGTGAACTTCCCTGGGTTCTCAGTGCGAGGCTTTGCTCAACTCGCGAATGTCAGGCCACCAGCCTCGAATTTCAGGCGCAGCTGACAGCTTGTCCACCGCGCGATCCGACAAAAACGCCAGGTGCCACGACCCCCGCCAATGGCAATCCAATTGCGTCCTATTCGCGGAGGTCTCTTGATGAACCATTTGAAAGAATCCCCTCCCTTCACTTGAATCATGGAAGCTGGCAGGGTACATCCCCCGAAGCCTGTCCAATTCCATCCCCGAAATTCAGCGGTCATGTGTCGAACCGAGCTGTTTTCGTTGGGTCCAATGCCAAAGCATAGTCATCCCTGACTGAAGGAAGCAGGGAGAGTGCATGTGGGTGTATGAGTAGCCATAAGTTGAAGGCCTGTGTCAGCGTGGTTAGACTCACCAAATGTGTTTGCTTTGTGTAAGAAGCGCTCCCAATTCGCGTCTTGACCTTCATTTGCACTTGCGTGTGTTCTGTTTCTGTGTGTGTGTGTCGATGTACAAACAGACCAATCGTGTTTGATTCCGAGTCTCATGTTGGCGTATCATTCATGCTGATTGACTTGTCCACGTCCTTCCTGGACAATCATGCAACCATAGTGAGTCGGCAACTACAACCTTCCCAGGCAGAGTTAACGAATGATTTCCAAGCACCTTCACTCGAAATTCTACGCAATTTCCGGCTGAGGCACGAGTTGCAGAGGCAGGGACAGAGATGTTCACTGCTTGAGGTTGGAGGTGCGGGTGATCAAGCCATGTATACACATTCAGAAATGAGCGCGGGACATATTGTAAATTATGGTCTTTTGTCACTTCCTGCAGATTGTCCGGAAGTGGGCTTTAAAAAAGCAGACACCCTTACTTTCGATTTTTGGTCGGCCCATGGCGGTCTTCGAGTCGTGTACTGGGGCAAATATCAGAACAATGAGACAAATAGTGTGCATGTGAATGGTAGGAAAGCCCATTATTTGCCTGACAGATTGGTCATGCGACGAGCGCTTTTTTTCCTTTTTGCAGGGGCATGCGAACAGTTTGGCGCTCAATGAATCAAGTAGGCACAAGCTGCAGAACAGGCCGTGACGGCTTCCTCTTGATTATGGGAACTTGCGGTAGCTGACAAGAGCTTCCTTGTTTTAGGTTCCCGCGCCGGATAGCTTCCAGTTGCCTAAGACTATGTACTGTATTCTCCCCTGTTGATTTTAGCAGGAAACTACTAGAAGTTGTTTTTAGTTGTTTTCCCAATACTATGTACTGTATTTTCCTTTTTTTTTTCCGGGAACTACTGGAAGTATTTGATGTTTTCCAGGGCACTGGAGCAATTGGAAGACATGGCATGTGTTTGGAGTTCAGTCATTTCACCGCAGCTTCGGTGCGTTTGTCCGGCCTGTCCGGCCAGACTCTCCGCAAAACATATATATATATATTTATATATACGTATATGGATATGTGTGTTTGCTGTTACATGGTTGTACCAGATGAAGTAGACAACAAGAAATTAACAGGGCTTACATATGGCTATGGGTCAAAACCGTTTTGGGATCCCATTTTTGGGTAGGTGAATTCCTCATTTTAGAACCTATTTTAGTGGTTGGATTGGGATGTTCACTGGGGGTACGATTTGGAGTTTGAGCCATGGCCTGATATAGATATGTGTTTGCTGTTAAGGAGGCAGATATCTAAACATGGAACATATCCGCTGGTACCCTGATGGTCTCCCCTTTACACACGGTTCAAAAAGGGCCCTTTGTTGGATACACATATTTGGTTGGAGTTCGATTTGTCCAGAATTCGCCTGAGCGGTGCTGGTTGGCGTTGACAAACTGGATGTTTGGGCAAGCTCTGCATCCCTTGTGGCCCAACACCCTGGTTGACTTGGAACGGGGTGGTGTTCCTGCTTTGCCATAAGAGCACCTCGTATAAGCCAGATCACTTCAGTTTTCCGAAGTGAATCGACCTTTTGACCTCATTAGTGTTCCAGGTTGGGCCTGTCACGTGAGGCCAGCTTCAGATGAAGCCAACCTGCAATCGTCCCTATAGTGGACTTGTTTGGTGGTGATCCCATCCCCTTCCCTTCTACCCGTTCCCAAGCTGTTTTTTTGTTGGCACCCTTACTGGTTTGTTTTCGCCTGCGAGAAATGCGCCTTGCGAAGGGTGCCTCAAGCCACCGGGAGTACCCGTGCTTTGCTCAGGCTGCCAAGGCCCGCTCGGTGTTCATCACCAACTTGCCCTTCAAGGCTCGTTTGTTTCGCAACGCGGGAATGCGGTTGCCAGGCACAAAGGCAGCTAATGTGTTTTGTGAAAGAAATATCAACAACACACACATAAAACATATTATATATATACACATAATACATATATGTACATATATATATATATGCGTAGAAAAAAAAACGATGCACACGATTTGCAACATAGCACTTACAAATGTAGCATGTGCATGCACAGACACACGTACGTGTATAGAATATGTGTACATCCACATCATACATGTATGAAGCTTACATTTGTTCAAGCACACATATGTGTACGTATATAATTATATTATATATACATATATATATATATATATTGACAGCTACTCTGCTACATGTGTGCATAGTATGAATAGCTTTCTGAAGCAATCGAAATTGCATCCCTTGGACGGCAGATGCATGGAGTAATGTTGGCCATGTCCCAAGGGCCATGACAAGTCCAGTTCTGCAGGTCAAGGAGCTTAGGCTTTAGGTTTTTCAGTGGGTCAAGGGCTGTTGGGTTGTTGGGCGGTTCAGCTGCTGGGCTGTTGCTGTTGGGCTGTTGTGTTGTTGGTTGTTGGATGGGTTCAAGCTGAAGGGCTTCTCAAGTTTGACAAGCATGTAGAGTTTGGAGTTGTGTATGGGGCAACTTACGGGCGTTGGCGGAGATGTGGTCGCATCTCTAAACGTAGAGCTTGGTCCCTAGATGGTCCAGGACCCTCCATTTGGGTTCCATCATAGGTGTCCTTTTGATCCATCAGTTTGCTTAAAATTCGATGGGCTCTACTTTAGACCTTGGTGTTCTTCCATCCATTGACCGGCAAAGCCCATAATCGTTTTCTCTTCTCCCAAAAGGACAGACCACCCCCATGTTGACCAACCACTGGTTGGGTTGTAAGGTGGACTCGAGGCCAAACGCGAAGACAGGCCCTGGGCACGAGCCAGGCGAAGGAGGAGGAGATCAGAGGCTGGCTGGAGCCGGCGGGTGACATCAAAGGGCTGAGGCTCAACCGAGACAAGGCCGGGAAGAAGATGGCGCTGGTGGTCAAACATGGGGGGGGTAACTTCAAAATGGGCTAGAACTCGGGGAAATGGAGAGAAACACCCCAAAGCCTGCGGTCCATTTTTTGGTGGTGACCACCCCGGTGCTTTGGATTGGTGCTTTGGATTTGGATTTGAACCCCTGGTTCCGGAGGATAAATGGGGAAAAAACGGAGCACCACTAAGCCACCGAACTCCAGACCACCAAGTAGAGATGAATGACTCGCTTCCCCAGGTCACCAGGCTTGAGCAACGTCTGATGGTTTGACCCCGTGCAAAGAAACGCCCGGCTCACTTCCTGAGGTTTGGTGAAGATCAGTTTGTTGGCAGGCAGACTTACCTTGGAGCACGAGATCCTTGTCATAGGGCGCAAAGGTTTTTTTTGTTATCTAGTCATGCCTTTTAGGAAAACAGACACGAAGTCACTTGAGCAGCTCTTGCAGTTCTAGATTCCCAGGTTGACATGTCCGTATACCAAAGTGGAGCAGGGCACATGGACAGCATCCGAACTCCTGGCCAGTTTAAGAAGGATCGCTAATCCTTGATTGGTTTTGGTTAGACATGTATAATCACATAATGAAGGTCTATGACGCAAGTCTCCATGCAAAAGATCTGCGCCAATCCAACCAATTCATACGATCATGGAAGTGCACTGTAGGAAGCTTGCCCCGAAAGGCAGTCTTCCAACACTGTTTCTCGTCAGCTTCCTTTGGCGGGAGAGTTCCTCTATGGTGAAACGCATATTGTTTAAGCGACCCTCCGTGGTGAAGCTACCTGAAATGGTCCCTTCTAGGGTTCTTCTATGGTTTCGTGCTTGTCTTTCAATGATATGCCAGGGCTTGGATTCGGGTGAAGTGAAACAAAACAAAGTCCACGCGGACAATCCAGGGCTTGGATTCGGGTGTTTTGCGCATACTGTTTAAGCTCCATGGTCAAGCTGCCTGAAGTGGTTTCTTCTAGGGTTCCTCTATGGTTTTGGTGCTTCTTGGGGCTCCAGATGGTTTGGTTGAGCTTCCCGAGGTGACCACCAAAGCCCTGGGCTACGGCCACGTGCAGTTCCGTGGCAGAAAAAAAGAACAAACACCGCGACCTGTGCGTCAGACGGGTCACGGGTGGAGGTCCAAATTTTCACCGCCGTCCGTGTATGTTTTTTTTTGTTTTTGTTTTTTCTTTGGGGGGGGGTCCGCTTTCCGCCAGGTGTCAGTGTCTGTGTTTTGTTTTTTGTGTTGTGGGGGGTGGTTCCGTTTTCCTAGTGTACAGTTGTTGGGCGTTCGGTCTAAAGCAGTCCGACACGTCTGCCAGTCTTGCCCTTGCGTTTGGAAGCCAGAGTCGACAATCAATTTGGCCCATGTTTCCTGTTCGCATATTTTGTGCGTTTCCATTCAAATAATTTGACTCACTCCCTGAGTTCATGAACTTTAAGCTTTTTGGGTTTGGACCATTTTAGTTGCAAATATAAAGTGTTTCGACTTGTTTTGGGCCATCCACTCAGCAGGTGAGAATAGTTAAGGTGGACGCCCTTTTGAAGAGTTGGGCAGTTTTGGTGAGGCGAGTTTGTCTTGAGCCTTCCGAAACAACACACAGCACATGTGGGTGTTTCGACTACAGTTCGAGATTGTTGGTCGATGGGTGAGGGGTCACCAATTTAGATGCGCTCATATGTTTCCAAAGTTTTTAATCAATTCAGTTGCAAGCGCTCGTAGATTTCCCGGCAAATGAGAAGTTGTCACAGTAAGTATGATCTCATGCGAGCGAATTCCGGTCCCGTGCAGGGCATTGCGTTGGATGGGTTTCTGGGTTTCCTTCCAGGCACCATGAGCAGCGAAGGGCCAATGTAGAGACAGGGACGCGCCAACAGCCAGAGCATGTCCAAGTGATGATGTACTTGTGTTTGTTTTGCCGTTTGCTTCCTGCCAGTCATAGTCCAGGCTTTGCCACGCGACGAAATCGCGGCTGGATGTCAGACAATCTTCGACAGCAACAACTTGAATGTAAATTGAAGCACGGCCAATTAATCCCAGGTAGTAGTCCATTTATAAATAGGAGATAGTTGCAACCGTAAATCTGCGTGGGCATGGTGTTTCTTTACATGGTTTTGGGTATGTTCATCTAATGCCGGCTTGTGACTATGCCTCAATAAACATGCACGTTGCATCGCGCACCAACAATGCCTGTCTCAGGGACACTGACCGGGAGCCTTTGTGAGTTTCACTCAGCAAGTAGCCCCCCGATCGTTTTCTGCAGCCGTGCAGTGGTGGTACCCTTCCCGCACTGACATACTGTGGATGGACGAAATCCTACACCAACTAAGGCAGGCTGGTTGTGTGATTCCCCTGCAAATATCAACCCACACTGGTTTCAAGTTTCAAAGTGGTGCAGGATTGCGTCTATCTACATGGCTGTGGGTCAAAATGATGTACCCAAAATGGGTTGCCCTGCCAAATGGGTTGCCCTGCACTAAAACCTGCGGTCCCCTGTTTGTTTTTCCCTTTTTTTTGTCTTCGTTATTTTGACCCATGCCCAAATATACATAAAGTATACTTTGTTGCCATTGACCCCTCTGCAAAAAGGTTCGTTTTGACCACAGCATGGAGAGGACGAGTCTTCCAGGGATTGCCAGGTGGCAGGGAGGCGAAGTTGACTCAACTTACCGAGTCACGCCTGAGGTTCGCATCTCCGCAAGCTGCAGAGGCTGCTGTGAAGCAGCACGCGGCTGAGAGGGAAGAACTCAAGTCCTTGTTGCTTCGGTCGCAAAAGATGAGTCTTAGTAGTTTCAGTTTGGTTCGCATCATTTTCCAGCACCCTCCACATAGAATGATTAAGAGTAGTTTTTCTATCTACGGTCTTGTTTTTGGGAAAGTTCTATGTTCTATCTACTGCCCCCTGGGCAGTAGTCGGAGGGTGGGTTGAATCCATTTTGTTTTCAAACCACCGTGCCTCCGGGGTTGAACCCCTTGTGCCTCCGAGCCCAGAAAGTCCGATTGGTGACTTACGAGCCATAACACTTCTGGTGTTTGCCTTGAGGGTGTCGTCAAGGACCCCAACCAGCATACAGGCTTTAACATCCGGGAAAGGAAACCGGGGATAGATATGTTTTGGCCCCCATTTGGCGCGTTTGGGAAAAAATGCGAATGCTCTGAGACTTTATGGAGGCCTCAAGCTTTGCCAGTTTGATCTAGCAAGTCGAGTGAATCCTTGGCCTATCATGGAACTTCCCCCCTTCACAGCCACAAATGCCTACACTTCAACTCCTGTAGCCGCTCTCTCAATGCTTTTTTCGGCCCAAAAAAGATCACGATCCTCTTGAACGGATCTGGATACCGAAGATTTCGTCCTCGTTACCCTCAAAACTTCCATTTGCTTAAGAATGACTTCTAGTTTCCCGTGTTGGTTTTAAAGGGAATCTATCACCACTGGATTTGTTTCATCATTTTTTCCAGGGGTCTCAACCAAATCTAGGTAACCCAGTAGTGCCCTTTTACCCTTTCTTTGGGGAGGGTTCCCCTACTAAAATAGACCAACCAGAAAAAAGAAACGGTACCCTTATTCTAACCTCTCAAATCTGGAGGACCTTGAAATGGACGCCACGGCGCCCAGCGGAGCCCAGCCGATGGGATCCAGGTGCGACAAGATCGAGCTGCATGGCCGCGTGATGCGCGTGGCGCCGGTGTCTTCGGAGAAGCCGCGGGAGCCCAGATCCGAGAGACGCCCCGCCAAAGACCCGCCGTTTTTTTTTTGGGGGGGGTGAGGGGGTGTGTGTTTTGATTGCCATGATACCTCCGGAAAGGGTTTAAGGACCCGCCTTTTTTGGGGAGGTATGTGTTGGGAACCCTGATAATATGTTGGTGTGTGGGGTAGGTTTTTGGGGGTATGTTTTGGGGGGTATGATTTTCTTTGGATTGCCATGATACCTCCAAAGAAGTTAAAGACCCGCTGTTTTTTGGGGTATGTTTTTGGAAACCCTGGTTTTCCATGGGACACGAATTTTCGTGGGTTGCCATCATACTTTTATTATTATTATTATTATTATTATTATTATTACTATTTTCGTGGGGGGGGGGGTATGTTTTAGAAACCCTGGGTTTCCATGGGAAACGTCTCCTTTTTTTAGTCAAGGATTGAAATGTTACCTCCCAAAAAAGGTTGGTATTTGCAGGACGGGGGTCAAGGTGTCCCTGCAAACTGGACTGCCCTTCGCCTTGGTTTGGGAATGCAACCGAGGAGACCCAGAGGAATTCGCGATGGATCCATCCCCAAAGACATGATCGGTTTTCTCTGATCGAAAAGTGGAGATTCGCTTTGGCGCGTTTTTTGGGGGCATGCCTGACCTTGACAGACGCCGGAGCAGAGCGACGAGACATGGCTGGGGGTTCACCGCATGATGTTCGACACGTATAAGACAATCCATTGGATGGGATGGAACGCCCCCTGCGCAACGGTGAATGCGCGAAGGCTTTGACAACTTTCCTAGTGCCTTGTGTTTTGTGAAAGCCACTTCAAGATTAGTTTCGTTGTGAGAGGGCAGATTTCTGGGATTAAGGCGGCATGAGAGGGATTTATCTAGACATGAGCTTTTTGTGGGCGTCGAAGATAGCTAGTCGTTGCTTGGCGATGCGTTTCAGGTTTCAGTTTGAGCTGCCGAACAACATCAAGGACTGCGCTGATCTGTTGGCAAACTTTGACTGTCAATCGGCGTCGTGAGAGTACAATGGTTTCAAGCACTGCAAATGCTATTTAATAATTACGAATTTGGAACTAGTTGTAACTCATATATCGACAATGCAGGTCAAACGCGTTCCTGACATCGGCGATGTTTTTATGGCGGTATGTGACTGGCCAACTTCATTCTCTCGTGCCTGTAAGAGGGGCCCTACAAACCACCATGTGGCACTGTGGATGATGCATACAGCCTTTGAATACCCCTCCCCCCCCCATTTGTTGTTTATTCTTCAAGTAGCACAAACAATGAGGTTTTCCTCATGGGTTCCCCTCACAAAAGCAGTACCCTCGAAAGAACAACAGACCCATATGTATGGTTGGTGTTGTTCCTTAGAGCTTCATTGAGACAAACCCAGGCGAGGTAAACGCCCATTGGGTTGGTTCCCAAGGGCGTCAAAATGACAGGCCGGACGAAAAGAAAGTATATGGGTGGCTGGTATTTTTGAGAGTTGGTACCCCCTTTTTGGTGGTTTTAAAGGGAAACCTAAAGGACAAACCACCATTTCAATGGGTCCCCTAAACAACGACACACCCATATGGTTGATATTTGCGGACCCCTTGTAGACGTATCACATGACAGAAATTCGCCTTCGCTGTCCATTTCCGTGGCTACTTCATGTTGACAGTCTGTCAAATGCCAGGACCCGATCCACATAGCCTTTGCCCTTTGCGGGGTTTTCTCTTTATCGTGCATTTGATTAAGAATATGTGTGATTTTCTCTTTGGTTTTAAAGGGAATCCATCATTACTGGACTTGTTGTTTTTCAGGGGACTCTAGCACATGGAGGTTATGCAAAGGGACGCCACACTTGACCCAGCACCAACGCGTAGGTGTCCTGTGGGAGTCTTTTCAAAACGCACCTATTCATGAGCTCCAGAATCTTTCAGCATGCACCTGATGAGGAGCTTCCACCCATGAGTTCATAGCAAGCTCCATGATTTGTTTGGTGCTTTCCTGATCCACGGCCATGTGCTTGTGACATGTCAGGAAGACCTCCGGGCGCTCATCTCTGAGGCGTGGCCACCAGTGGGCACTCCATTTTTCCCCAGCTGCAAGGTTTGGGGTCTCTGCCCAAGGCGAGGGCGACAAGGTCTGGGGCCGGAAGAGGGGAGGGTTCAAAAGGAGGGCTCTGGGATTTCTGAAGGCTTTGGGGAAAACCCGAGCAAAGGGCCCTGGCTATTTCCCACTGAGTGTGGGGTATTAGTCGTAGTGGCGGTGCACATTGACTCGGTGTTTCAGGCAGCAGATATGAGCTGCCGAGATGAAAACCATATTCTTCAAATATTTATTGTCGGGGAGGTGGGGGGGGTTCGGGTACCGCCCCAAGACCGCTGAAGCCAAAATATGTTTTCTTGCGCTTTTCATGCTGGCCCCCGAACAGAAATGCAGGAGCCCTGATCACTTTATGGGTGCAAACTACCAGACAAGAGGACAACTGGCAGAATTGCAAATAACTGCAAACACATGTGCAAAACGCATGAGCAAAACACGATTGAACACAAATACTTGGGGGATGTCTGAGTCCCAGGGTCAAAAAGGTGCAAAGAGGGGTCGGACTCTGGAATGTTTTGGAGTCGAGCCATGAGCAATTTTACTTGGGGTTATGAGGCATGGTCGACCTCTGAATTGGCCAGCCAATGTATAGGTGACCTTGACAAATGCAAGCGAATGTATGACACTAGGTGCAGATGAAATAGTTCCGGTTCCTCAAAAAAACCACGACCTTGACGAAGCCAATGTATGACACTTGTTGCACAATACCAGGAACATACGATGGGAAGAAACTGAAATTGGAGTGGATATGCCCGTGAGGCATATGAGGGCATGAACATCAGTACCATCAAGGACATTCAGGGCGTTGGCGCTTGCATTGAGCCAACCTGCCGCACGTCGAACTGGGTACTGCTTATGTTCCGTTTCTTTTTTTTAAGACTTGCTGTCAGGTGTTGGTTGTCGAAGCCACGTTTGCCCATTTGGCTGTGGTTGTCAAAACCAATGGGATCCCATTTTGGGGATTGGGTGAATTCACCACCCATTTTGGAGCCTATTTTAGTGGTTGGATTGAATCGGATGTTCACTGGGGGCTATTGGGATGGTTTTCACTGGGGTCTAACCGCTTTGGCTTTTCACCCATGGCCATTTCACTCGTTGTTTTCTTCTTCTTCCTTTTTTAAGACTTGCTGGTTGTTGAAGCCACGTTTGTCCATTTCTCACTTGTTCCATCGCCGCCAGCCAAAAGAGTCGAATTGCAAGTCCTGGCCATCGAGTCGAAGGAGCTAGAGCAGCTCCAAGACAGCTTTCCTTTGAACACTTCCATTTGCTTAGGCGAAGCGTGCTCGCTACATGTGAGGCGACAGTGAGAGGTAAGTATTTGGGCGTAGATGTACAGTGACCCGCACCCTTGCTTCCATTTGCTGAAATGAATATTGTTTATTTTGCCCTGTTGGTTTCAAAGGGAATCGATTTCACTATTGGAAGTAGTTTCATTTTTGTCCAGGCGGCTTAAGCAAACGGAAGAAAAACGATCTCCTACACTTCCATTTGTTTATGATTTGTTCCCTTGTTGGTTTAAAGGGAATATATTATAACTGGAAATATGTCTATTTTTTCCAGGTTCAGCAAATGTACGCACACCTGTTGTCGGCTGCAAATGATACTGGACGAAGAAACATCGGAGGAAGTTCTCCACTTCCGTTGTGCAACCACTGTAAGCCTTTTTTTGGTTGCTCCCACTCTCCAGGCTCCGAGAAAAAATTAAATCTTGCCTCCGGGTCTGCGGGTCTGCGGGTCCGGAGGATGCGTGGCAGTGCCGCCACCCGGGGGAAAAGCTGAACACCACCAAGCCGGCGGCCCGGACACTCGCCGCTGGACTCCAGGGGGGTTCTTGTGGCTGGTCCCGAAATTTCTTGGCTCCCGGCCATCCGGTTCCTTAGCCTTTTTTAGCCTTTTGGTGCTTGGTAGTTTCCATTTAACCCACTAAAAGTTAAGCTTTTGGCGGGGGATCTGAGGGCAGCGCAGGGTTATCAAAGCCAGAAATTGTTGTTTGGCTGTTTCCCTTTCGCCTGCGACTTAGGGGGTGATGTTTTCTCATAAAGCCACGGGGCCGACAGGTTCCTCTCTTTGGCCCCTACGGTACGAATTCATGCGCTATTGCGCCATGCTTGCCGGCTGGACTTGCAAAGATGGCTTTGCATGATTCACCACCGGTGCGCCGGCCAATGGTCAGAACATGTTGCAGTGCCACAGGTGGATGATGGAAACGAGGGCCCCCGCTGTTCACATGGATGTGTTTCAAGGTGTGCTTGTCAGGTGGGTTCAAAGGGAAAGCAAACAGAAGGCCACCACTTTTTGTGGTTGACGCATGGGTCGATGGTTTTCTCCTGCGGACACCAGTCTTTCTTGTGGTTTCAAAGCGCAAAGAGGAACAAACACACTTTTTCTTGGCTGCTATTGGGTTGGATCTTTAGACTTCAGCTTTTTGGGAAATCAAGGGGTTTTCCATTACAGCCACAACAAGTTAAACTTTTTGCAGAGGGGTCAGCAGCAACCAAGTTTCATCTACTAAAATAGACTACAGAGAAAAGGGCACCCTTATTCTAACCTCTCTACTGGAGGACCTAGCCAGATACCCCACATCGGTTCCCTTTTCCCCCCTTTCGAGGGCCAGCTGCTTTCGGACCGAGGTGGGGCTTCAAGAACTTCTCGGCTGCCCTGAGGACTCTGGAAGGCGGGAGCAAGTTCGGAGGACGCACCTTGATTGCTATTGGCTTGGATTTTTAGACTTTAACTTCTTCGGAAATCACGGGGTTTTCCATTAAGCCCACAAAAACAGGTTGAACTTTTTGCAGAGGGGTCAACAGCATCCAAGGCACAGTCTTTTTTCGAGGTTGGCCCCCGAAGATTTTCCGGTTGGTTTGCCCTTGCAGACCCATCAAAAGGAGAGGTTATCTAAAAAGAGACACATCCATTCAGCATCCCACATCCCTGTTGGAGTTGTTGGCATTGTGGTCTTCCTTTAACGTCCAAAGAATCAGTCCCGGAAGTTTGGTCTTACCAAGGCACGACGACTTCCGCTCGACTGGTGGCGAACTTAAGAAGAATCCTTAAGCCTCCCACCCCCGCCCTCCGCCTCCCCCCCCCCGCCTCCCCATGTTTTGCAGCCGCAAAGAGAACAACAAGGCCTTTACGCACGTAGTCCGACCCTTCAATGGGGTGACTGACTCGTGGGGGTGATCTGAAGCAAGCCTTTTCGGCAGGCTTCACATCGGGTTGAAGGGGTTGATCAGGGAGTCCGGGGTTGAAAAGACTCGTTCGGGTTGTTCGGAATTGGACCTCCTGCCACCTGTCACAGCTAAGCCGTCGAGATGGGGATCGCAAGGCGTGCAGTTGGAGCATCACCTGGACAAGACGCTGACCTTCTTGGCCTTCTTCCAAGATTCGCCGGCGCACCGGGCATTCCTGGAGGTGGGGCGCGGAGGGGCTGTGGGTGAAACTGAAACTGGGCGCGGCTGAGCGGCGCGGCTGAGAGGAGGGGAGCCAGACCCACGGAGCTCTTCTGGGAGAACTGCTGATGTTTTGCTAGGTCCCCCAGTGCCCTTCTTAACCCCTTTTTTGGGGGAGGGTTCCCCTACTAACACAGACCCCCTTATTCTAACCTAGCTACTGGAGGACCTAGTTTGGCAAAGAAATCTTAGCTGAAACGTGAACTTGAGCCATTGAGCCTTAAACTGTTTCTACAGGATCATACAGGATCTTGCACAATTCTTGCTTTGCGACAGCAAGAATGGGTTCCAAGCTTTCAAACAAGGCCTTGACAGTCGTGTTGAGGATTTGCCATATGTGGGACAATGGCAATGGGTGTCTGACAGATTTGTGACCATTTGGCTCGAGGGCACACGGGTTTTCCAAAAGGCAGGTTTGAATCCTTGTGGACATGGTTTATGCAAACATGCAACACTCGCCACTTCGGATAAGTGCATTTCACATAGTTGAAAGCAAGGTCCCTGCTGAAACACGTGAACTAAGAAAACATGTAGACTGTTTAAGTGTTTTGAGTTAGGCTAACCGTTTGGAGGCCATGAAAGCAAGGCATACATGTTCATGTCTACTCTTTATTTTTTTCCCCGCAAAGCTACGTAGGCCGTCAGAGGTTGCCTGTCATTCCCTGCCACAGGTTTTGAGTTGATTGTTCCAGTTCCTTTTTCGTGGTATAGATTTCTGGGATCTGGAGACTTTGCACTGGCCCCCACCCCACCCCTTTGCACCATCGAAATACAGGGAAGGGGATGTAAGGGAATGCGCGCTGGGAAAGATTAAGGCCTCTGCTGGGGCTGTGTGCCAATGAGACAGTCGTGGTGGGCAATCGATATGCGCCTTGTGTTACTCTGATGGTCACCCGAGACAAACATACAGCAACCACACCGGGTGTGCGTGCCCTCACTCATTGTCAAGTGTGTTCCCTTCATTCAGTTGGTGCTTTGTAATTCACCCACCCCCTACTACTCAAAATACCGGCTTTTTCCGGGTATTTCTGGGAAAACATGTTTTTCCATGGTAAATCCCTCCTTTTTTAGTAGAGGGTCGACATGATACCCTGAAAAAGGGCCGGGTATTTGGAGCAGGGCGCACCATAGGTGGTTCATCCCAGTTCATCCGTTGCCTGTGCCTGGCGCATCCTGTCGGCTCTCGGGTTGCGAGGCCAAGGCCAAGAAGATGGCGGCAGCTCCTCCCGAGATGACGCCGGGCGAGGCGCCGTTTGCCCGCGGTGGCCGGCCGGCCGTTGCCTGGGATCTTTTGGGCTTCCAGCGGTTTGGGCGGGGATCTTTTTCTTTTTTTTGGACTCAAGGTTGGACTCGGCGGAAATGGAGCAGTGGCAACCAACGTGGATTGAGAATTGAGGAGCAACTTGGTGCGCTGGGCCCCTTTCGGTGCCTAGAGTCTCCATGACCCCTAGAAAAAGGGGTCATAACCCCTTGATTTTGGGTAATGAAGGTAGGAATTTCTTGGGGTGTCCAGAGCGAAAGGAGGGTTTCGCGCACAGTGTAGAGTCTAATTCGACCACTTGGTGGTTCCAAGTCATCCTTTCGACTTTTGCAGTTTTTGAGGGGTTTATCTCCCACTAAAAGTTAAACTTTAATAGCAAGGGATCAACAGCCACCAAAGTGCTTCATGATGTTTTGTGACCGAGTTCTGGGTGCCTTGTCCAGCTGCAAAGAGTTAAAACGACCAGCAGAATGCGAGCCTCTGGAAGGTCCACCTACTTCATGGTGCTCCCTTGTTGAGTGTTTGTGTGTTTGGGCAGGATTGCTCCAATGCCCTTTATCAAAAAGCAGCTGGAAGCCACAAGTCAACTGGATTGTTATGTCTCAGTCTCAAAACATGGTAGAGTGAAAAAGAAGCGCGTCACAACGCCTCCTGGGGCTGTCCAGTGGGTTGTTTGGGGCTGACGCCTTTGTGCCAGACTTTGGCTACTGTTTGCTTTAGACTCTTGAGACCAAGAAGCCTTGGATGACCCAGCTCTGCCTTGTTTCTTCAGGTTGGTTCAAAGTCGGGGCTCCAAAATGTTGATTTTGGGGACACCCAGTCTTGAGCTTGTACTTCCGGCTTTGGGCGTGGCTCGAAGCACGTCCCACTGTGATAGGGAATCCCCTCTTCATACGGGGGGTTTGTCTTTGGGAGCTCCTTTTTGTTGTATCGCAGAAGTGGATTGCATTTCCCGCAGCGCTGAAAAGGAACCAAACCTGGATCAGCACGGCACGGTCAGAGATGTCCCGACGTTCGTCTTGATGGTTCGGATGCCAGGCAGAGTCTTCATGATCATTAAACACATGGCCATGGGTTGCATAACCTACGGCTCCATTTTGGGGATGAACATCCATTTGTCACCTATTTTGACGTTCACCAGGGGTACAGGGTTTTGACCCGCAGCCACATGGGAGTGTAACCCCTAATTTGTCCACAGTCTTGGAGACTCAGTTCCGACCTGCGCTTTTGGAGGTGCGGCGGGCCGCTGCTGAGGCTGGCTATGGGGTCGATAGGCCCAGAGATCGGCGACTCTGGGGTGGTTTGGGGCAGCAACAAAGGGGAGGGTTCAAAAGGAGGGTTCCAGGGGTTCCGCGGACTTGCTGGGGAGATCACCTGGACTTGTTGTCTTTTTCTTTGGGGGGTGCAATGTTTTGATTGAGATATTGCCAATAGTATGTCTCCAAAAGGGTCTTCCCATATGTCACCCGTTTGGGAATGCGCCAAAATCGGAGATCTCAAATGGCCAAGCGGACGCTTCCCATGTCAGGATACTCCCTCAGACTCCATTTGAACTTTCTTCCCTATTTTGTTTCCGGTTTAGTCGAGGATCCAACCGCTTTGCCTTGTAGTACCCTCCCATCCACAAACATGGAGCCTGACACGTTCTCCTGAAAGACCCATTGTCCTTTTAAAGGGACCATCTTGTGCTTTTGTCCACAGCAGTGGACAGGAGGGTATGTCTTTGGATGTGTATTACTTTCAGTATGTAGATAGTTTGAGTTGGTGCACGAAAAATGATGAAAAGCAATAGTAGTCCAGGTCCCCCGGTAGTGCCCTTTTACCCCTTTTTTGGGGGAGGGTTCCCCTACTAGAATAAACTACAGAAAAAGGGTACCCTTATTCCAACCTCTCTACTGGAGGACCTAGCAGTAGAGTACTTGCCGTTTTTCCGCTAAAATATCGCAGCGTTTCGTCGCAGCGTTTAACTTTGGTGCATTTTGCTTGGATAAATTTGTTTTCCAAATTAAACCACTAAAAGTTATTCACTTTTAGCAGGGCTTCGCAGAAAGCAACCGAGTTTCTAACCTCTCTACTGGAGGACCTAGTAGTAGAGTACTTTCCGCTCAAATATCGCAACGTTTAGTCGAGGTCTCAAAGGTCCGCGCTTTGGTTCCAGGCCCTGCGCCACCGGAACAGACTTTCTCGCCAGGCGGACATCCCCGAGTCCAGGAAATCGAAGGTGGCGAAGGCGCGGATCCGAGGGTGCGGTGCTTGGTCTCAAACTGGACCCCCCCCAGAAAAAAAAGAGCTCAGGTGATATCCCCAACATGTGGTGCTCTTTTTAGTGCTCGCACCACCCAGAAAAAAAAAAAGCAGGAACAAAAAAGAACTAGGTCCTTCAGCTAGGTGCCCTTCTCTCCCCTTTTTGGATGGGAGGGGTTCCCCTACTAAAATTGACTACAGAAAAGGGTACCCTTATTTTAACCTCTCTCTTGGAGGACCTAGCAAAAGAAGAAACGCATGCATGATTTGATTTCACTGTTTTCCAAAAGCAACCCGAGGGTACCTGCAAAAAGACAAGTGTGTATATATATATATATTCTCAAAATTGGGGACCTCTCCAGGTAGGTGGTTTCCTTTCGGTTTCCTTTTTCCAAAAGAGGGTTCCCTATTTTGAGACGCACCTCCGTACCTGGGGATGCCCGGAAGGCCAGTCTGAGAAACCGGTTTTGTCGCGAGTTTCTGCAGTGAATACGGACGGGAGGGTATCCAGTGGGATTTCACTTCTGTGATCGTTTTGTGGGAACGGCTGGATAAAGGTGACCACTATAAGACCAGCCAGTCTCGTTGTTTTTCTGGTTTGTTAGGTTTTTGATGTTTCCTCGAGTTGTTTTTTTCTTGTTTTCGTTTTTGTTTTCTGCTTTTTTGGGGCTATTGGTCAGCTTGCTTCAAGAGGAAGGCCTTTGTAGACTTCAGCGATGCTGACTCAGCAGCGCGCTCAGGGCCAGGACCGCTCACTATTCGCAGTTCGTTCGGTCGCACTGTCAGAAGGCTTTTGCCAATCGGGTAAGTCCTCATAAGGCTCCTTTTAAGGCTCCTAATGAAGGCACCTAATGAAGGCCTGCTTTTCGCGGGGGTTCATTTGATGCTAGACTAGTTCCCCCAACTGGAGGACCTAGCAACAGGGCAAGTCCTCATTAGGCTCCTTATGAAACTCCTCAGACGGCTCCTTGTAAAGCTGCTTGTACGACTCCTTTTGAAGCTGCTCATAAAGCTCTTTTGAAGGCTTCATATAAGGCTCGCAATTCCTTGTAGAGCTGCTTGCAAAGCTCCGTTTGAAGCTCACTTGTTAAGCTGCTTCTAAAGCTCCTCATAAAGCTCTTTATAAAGCTTTGCGCAACGCTCCTTGCACAATTCTCGTTAAAGCTCTTTTTGAGGCTCCTGGTCAGGCTCCCAAAAGGCTCCTTGTACCTTGTAAAGATGCTTGAAAAGCGCCTTTCAAGGCTTAAAGCTCCTTACAGGCTCCTCGAAAGCTGCTTAAACGGCTCCCTATTAAGCTCCCTTTACCGCTCCTTATGGGGCTCTTTATGCTCCTTGAAAAGCTTCTTCTTGGGGCTCCTTGCGCAACTCCTGTTAAAGCTCCCTTTTTATAGCTCCCTTCAAGGCCAGCTTGCCAAATTGGATTTAAATCGATGTTTTGATCAGAATTTCACAATAGTTTGATTAGGAAATAGTTATGTTAGAGTTTGAATTGTGCATGATAATGTCAAGGGCGATGCCTTTCACATGCTGTGAATAGTAGAATGCGACTGAGAGTTCAATAGGGAAAGAGCCCAGTAGACTTCCATCTTCAGCTGGAACTTAAATAAACCGTCCTTTCCATGAATACATAGCAAGTGAATGTGTGAAATATTTTCTGGGCCCAAAGAACCTTGGTTGAATATTTGTGTGATAGAATTAAGCAAGGACATAATCGCAGTTGAACAGGGTTGTGGAATCAAGGGGTTTATGCCCACTTCTGTGATACAAGGGAATCCCCCCCTGTATATGGGGTGTTAGTCTTGGGAAGCCCTTTTTGTTGTATCACAGAAGTGGTCATTTCCCACAACCCTGCAGTTGAATGTCTGTCTTAGTTGAATTAAAGTAGGAACTTTCTTTCAAAATAGGACGTTAATCAAAGTCAATTGCTATGCAAATGGAATTTGTATGTCAGGAAGTTCTTTCCAAATAGGATTTCATGCACAGAGGCAGATGCCTATATGCTTCTTTGACATGTTGGTACTTGGTGGGTGCAGACACAGATGAGCACATGCAGATAGCAAATGAGCAGATGATCCTTCAGACCTGGTTGAATCAGACATACATGCCCCAAATGTAGTTCATGAGGGGGGGGAGGGTGGGTGTGAGCATATATATATATATATATCTCTTGAGAGGCTGGAATATACACGTATGTGTCATATCAGCATATAGACGTCCATGCAGACGGGGACCGCCAAGCCGCTCGAGCTAGGTGGAGACTGCGAATGGCGATTCCAAGGCGGCGGGGCTTGGTGCTTGGCTCCATGGCAACGAGCCGACGGGGGCGTTGTGGGTGTCATGTGGCTGTGGGTCAAAAATAGGCTAACCCCAAAATGGGTTGCCCTGGGTGGAGACATGGACGAACATTTGCGGTCCATATCCTGGTGGTTTAATTTTGTCCTATACCCGTGTCGGCTTTCTTTGCCCGCTCGGCCATGGAGCAGTTTTCTCATGTCAACGTGCACTTGGCTGACCCCACGCGTGAATCACATCTGCCTGTTCTTTGGCTTTTCTTTCAGGTTTATCAATTATCATGTGCATGATTGAATGGGTCTTTCTTTATTTCTGTCTTTCTGTCTTTCTTTCTTTCTTTCCCTCTTTAAACAGGATCCTGAAAAACGGTGCTGGTCTTGTAGTTACCCTGCAAACTGGCTTCGGCTTTCCTGCTGGTTTCCCTTGAAAAACCACCAAAAAAGAGGCCCCTCGTCCAAGAAGGAAACATCCATATCTCCCTTCAAAGGTGTTTATACATTTGGCCGTTCTGGCCACCCGCTTGCTTCAGGTCAGTTTCCTTGCGGGTCCTTCGGCGGGATGTGTCAAGCATGGCGGTCTGTGCACCTTCTCAGATGGAGCCAAGAAGGTTCCTTGAATACTGGACCTGTTGAGTTCCACGCCAGGTGGAAGGGTAAGGGCCTGTGCCCGCGAACGTCATGCTTGCGAGCTGGACACAACCGGCTAGCACGCATCTTTGCTGTTCTTGTTGGGGTTTCCCGTTGCTTGTTTTGTTGTCAACTTTTGTCGAGTGCAACTAGCAGAGTTTTCTTGCCGATTTACCAAAAGGCAAGTACTTCTGATCTGAGCTCAACTTGTGGGCGTTTTGCATCTTCCCATTGGCCCGACGGAATTGACCTGTGCAGGGACTGAGTCCGGAGCCGTTGCTCGCCAGGCTGCAGGTAGTCCAAGCCGCAGAAAGGTAGAAGTTTTGACGTAGGATACGAGGATGGAACAAGAACTGCATCAGTCAAGCGCAACCACGTACTCGATATGTTTGTTGCGCAGGAACAAGAAGTTCGAAGCTCCACTGCATTGTTTGGCCAGGGAGTTCAGAAGAGCAACCACAGTATGACATTTGACGTTTTGTGTTTGTACGCAACATATGCAAGACAAGAGCTTCAAGCCTTTGCCAAGCAGCACCTAGCCGTCAGGATCTAGGATGATCTAGGGGTGCAGCAGTCAAAGAAACTGCTATGCTCCCTGACCTATCCGCGCGGACCCAAAGAACACCCAGGACCCCGCGTGGCGCGCTGAGAGCCATGACAGGAGCGCCTCAAAATCTCTTTTGGGCCTAGGAAGTGGCAAATGAAACTAGGGACCCCCTGTGGGTGTGTCCTTTCTGGGACCCGCAAAGTGGTTGTCCTTTGGGTGTTCCTTTAAGACTACAAAAAGGAGTACCCTCAAAAAAGAAAAGACCCATCTATAGCAACTTTTACAGAGGAACTCCATTGATCCCTGCTTCAGGTTGGCTCACTACTGGCCACTGCAGGGATGCCATTGCCAGTTGCGTGTTAACCTGTCTGCCTGCAGCTCAGGTCAGAATGGTCCGCTGGATATCTTTGAGCATAGCCTTCAGCCAAAGCCGTCTCCTCAGGATGTCCCCAAAAGAATAGTGGGGCACCAAGAGAAAAACCGACCTGTCAGAGAGTTCTATCAGGTTTGTGGGTTTCAGTTTTGGCTTCTATAATGAATTGGCGCAGCCACAGATCGGAGGAACTTACCCGTTTTGCGCGGCTTGGGGCGTTTGGGCTGGAAAGGCTGGAGGCGCATGTCCTGTTTGTGCCTCGGGGGAAGCCTGTGATGGTCAACCCCACGTTTGAACAGCAAGTCCTGTTGCTCTCTCCCTTGAGACTTGTCTCCAAGACTCCAAGCTACAGGTACGGACGCCGCCCGATGTATGAGCATGGATACCAAACCTGAGCAAATTGAATTGAGGGCGCAGAAGTCCCTTGGTACCCCTTTGTCTCTGTTGTTCGGTGGCACCAATTCTTTCTTTTTTTTGGTGGCTGCCCCACCAAAAATGGTCCAAGCCCCAAAAAGGGTTCCCTTTTTCCAGGGTTGCTGAACAACTGAGTCGGTTTGTAGCGCAAAGTTGTTTTGCCAGAAGCATTTCTTGCTAAGGAGCGTGCAGCGTGCCAAGCTGAAGACTCCCGGCTCCTTGGAGTCTTGGATGTATCCAGTTGGACAATTCTGGTCGCTAGCCGGAAGCTCGCGAAGAAAAACAAAAGGACCTCAGCCGCTTTAGACTCAAGCTGCGAGTCTCCCTTTTCTAATCCAAAAGGAGGTTCCTTTTGAAACGGACCCAGATGCGCGCATAAAAGCAAGTGGCTGTGGCTCAAAAAACCGGAACCAAAATGGCACCCTGGTAAATGGAACCAAAGACTGAAACCCGCGTAACCCCAGCTCTTGAATTTTGAGCCACACCCAAGTGGCCTGGGATTCTTTGAAGGACCCGGCGTTGTTGACGAGAAGGTGTACTCAAGGGACGGTCGATCCCAGGGAGCCAGGTGTGTCTGATTCCGGGCTTCCCACATACCCACTTTCGGGACGTGCAACCGGCAAGCGCCCTGGCCTTTTTGCTTTGGTGGTTATATGGGGACGAATGTGATGTGGGCATAAATGTTAATTACGAATTCGCGGCCCTTTGGTGGACATTACAATTCGGTGAACATTATGTCCACCACTTTTCAGGGTTTCCCATTAAAATTGATAGCCACGTATGTAGGTTGTTTTCTCAATGCTTTCCTCCTACAATGACTATGCTTGGTTTCAACGCATTCAACCCCCTTCTCATTATTGAAGCCCGTATGGGTTTAATGACCCCAAACAAATAGTGTTCCTCGAAAGGAAAACCACCAAACGAAGGGTACCAACTCCAAAACAAGACCGACCCTTATATCAGGCAACCCTTTGGCGGTTTAGATTGGTGGCTTGGATTTGGATTTGAACCCCTGGTTCAATTCCGAGGATCCACCAGTTTGACAGCCTGTCTTTTGTAGAGGGATGAAAACCCCCTCCGCAACACCACCAAACCACCGGGCCAAACCACCAGCAAAAATGGAGGGCAGCTGACTTACCGTGAAGGAGCTGTTCAGCAAGCGGTTGCTGGGGCTTCTTTGTTTGGTTTGTTTCGTTTCTTCGTTTGTTTTGTTTGTCTTTTGTTGGTTTTTTGTTGCTTGTTGTGGTTAATTCGTTGGCTTTTTGGTTGGTTGTTTGTCTGTTGGCGGGTTTCAAACCACCTCTACGCCTCCGGCCTGGGTTCGAGCCGTTCCTCAAATCCTCTAGGCTGTTCTATTGCACCCTGGGATTGCACCCGGAGGAAGATTCTCCTAGAAAGTCACCAGGTGCAATACCCCAAAAACTCACCAGATTCAATCATCAGCCCCAAAGTACTCTCAAAATCCCCTACTAAGCACAACAAAAACCAGGTGCGGTTTTTCTGGAGCTAGGCAAAAAAGTGAAGGGCATCAGTAATCTCCAGGGTGTAAAAGGAGAACCACCCCCGTTGCAGGTTCAAAAAATAAAGTTGGGGTGGGTTGGACCCTAAAATAAGTCATCTGTTTTATTTTAGTCCAACCCCTTTTCCATTAAAACTCATGTTGTGGTGTTTAAATTACATTCCGCAATATCATCTACCAATACCCTACCATCAAAGTACACAAACAGATACGCACAATCACCCCCCAAACAATGCCCATATAATTAAATTCCCAAGTTATATATGTCACGTTATTTTCAACAACTCATCCATGTTATATTCCAATTCTCAAGCTTGTCAGCCTATTCCTCCCTTCGGTGCAAGGAGTCCTGGCTGGACACGGCCCTTGGCCAGCAGAATCTGCAAAGCCGCGGGCCCTGCCCGGAGCGGCTCAAAGTCTTCCGGGAGGCGACGCTGACGCCCCGCGCACGCGCGCGCGCAAGCGCGCGGCGCGTCGGCGTTCTCGGCGTGGTCTTTTCTTGTTGCTTTTGTTTTTTTAAACAAATGATATTAATAATAAGAATGAATGCTAAGAATAATAATAATAGTAAAATTAGTAATGATATTAATAGTAATAATAATAAACAATATACATATTATACTTGGGCTTGTTGTACCAGTAGTGCCCGTTGATCCTCTTTGGAGGCGGTGTGCGTTGTTTTTGAGCATCAGCTGGGTCTGTTTCTTATGGAACTCCCAAAATGCCGCAAATGGTGTCCTTTTGGTTTCCCTTTAAAACCAAAAACGGGTACCCTCAGAACAGAACACGCCGACTTCTTTACTCCCTGAGTTCCGTTTCGGACTTGAGTCACTTGGGAAGACAGTCCAAGTGGTAAACAAAGTTTGGACTTTTGGCCCATCCACGGAACTGAGCTTCCAGTGCTTCCAGTGCTTCCGGTGCTTCCAGTACTTCCGGTGACCAGGTTTTGTTGATCTCTAGGTTTTGCATGATGGTTACCTAGGTCTTCTCTAGCTAGCATAGGTAGCCAACAGATATTGTTGCCTCTAGGTTTGACATGATGGTTTGCACAGGTTCCGGCTATAGTGGCATCTGTCATCACTGGATTATAACAGTCAAATATCTGCTTGGTCCATGGTCGATTGTGGAGCGGCATGGGGATCGAACATGTCCCACAAGGGGTCCACTTGGGGAACCCAGCAACTTTCACCCTGGCTCATGTCAAGCGGCGATCTCGTTTTCGCCTTTCGGATGATGTCGGCTGGGCAGCAAGAGTGGTTTCAGAATTGTCGTTGGACATCTTGATGGAGAGCTCGGGGGTCACGAGAGTTTTCTCCAAGGAAGTCTTTGGGTGACCCATGGGTCACTGGGTTCCGTTTAGACGCAGCAGTGTCAGATGGCAAGCTGGAACCCAGATATCTTAGAACCCATTTGGATGTTTCTTTTAGGGAACCAAAATGGTGGTATTCAACTGTTGATTCCCTTACCGACCCCCAAAGAAGGGGCACCCCCAAACAAAACACACACACACAAAACAAAATACATTCACTCACACACACTCACACCACACACACAACAAAATACATTCACTCACACACACACTCACACCACACACACAACACAATACATTCACTCACACACACACACCACACACACACAACACAATACATTCACTCACACACACACAACACAATACAGTCTCTCACACACACAATACATTCACTCACACACACAACACAATACATTCACACACACACCACACACACAACAAATACATTCACTCACACACACCACACACACAACACAATACATTCACTCACGCACACACCACACACACAACACAATACATTCACTCACACACACACAACACAATACATTCACTCACACACAATACATTCACTCACACACACACACAACACAATACATTCACTCACACACACACACCACACACACAAGACAATACATTCACTCACACACACACACAACACAATACATTCACTCACACACACCACACACACACACAACACAATACATTCACTCACACACACACACCACACACACACAATACATTCACTCTCACACACACACACACCACACACACAACACAATACATTCACTCACACACACACACCACACAGACACACACACACACAACACTATACATTCACTCACACACACACAACACACACACACACAATACATTCACTCACACACACACAACACAATACAATCACTCACACACACACACCACACACACACAACAGAATACATTCACTCACTCACACACACACAACACACTACATTCACTCACACACACCATACACACAACACAATACATTCACTCACACACACACCACACACACAATACATTCACTCACACACACACCACGCACACAACACAATACATTCACTCACACACACAGAACACAATACATTCACTCACACACACCACACACACAACACAATACATTCACTCACTCACACACACACAACACAATACATTCACTCACACACACACACACAGAACACACTACATTCACTCACACACACCACACACACAACACAATACATTCACTCACACACACACCACACACACAATACATTCACTCACACACACACACCACACACACAACACAATACATTCACTCACACACACACCACACACACAATACATTCACTCACACACACACACACACCACGCACACAACACAATACATTCACTCACACACACACACCACACACACAATACATTCACTCACACACACACCACGCACACAACACAATACATTCACTCACACACACACACCACACACACAATACGTTCACTCACACACACACCACACACACAACACAATACATTCACTCACACACACACACACCACACACACAATACATTCACTCACACACACACCACACACACAACACAATACATTCACTCACACACACCACACACACAATACATTCACTCACACACACACCACACACACAATACATTCACTCACACACACACACCACACACACAACACAATACATTCACTCACACACACACCACACACACAATACATTCACTCACACACACACCACACACAATACATTCACTCACACACACACCACACACACAACACAATACATTCACTCACACACACACCACACACACAATACATTCACTCACACACACACCACACACACAACACAATACATTCACTCACACACACACCACACACACAATACATTCACTCACACACACACCACACACACAATACATTCACTCACACACACACCACACACACAATACATTCACTCACACACACACCACACACACAATACATTCACTCACACACACACCACACACACAATACATTCACTCACACACACACCACACACACAATACATTCACTCACACACACACACCACACACACAATACATTCACTCACACACACACCACACACACAATACATTCACTCACACACACACCACACACACAATACATTCACTCACACACACACCACACACACAATACATTCACTCACACACACACCACACACACAATACATTCACTCACACACACACCACACACACAATACATTCACTCACACACACACCACACACACAATACATTCACTCACACACACACCACACACACACAATACATTCACTCACACACACACACACACACACAATACATTCACTCACACACACACACACACACAATACATTCACTCACACACACACCACACACACAATACATTCACTCACACACACACCACACACACAATACATTCACTCACACATTCACTCACACACCACACACACAATACATTCACTCACACACACACCACACACACAATACATTCACTCACACACCACACACACAATACATTCACCACACACACACCACACACACAATACATTCACTCACACACACACCACACACACAATACATTCACTCACACACACACCACACACACAATACATTCACTCACACACACACCACACACACAATACATTCACTCACACACACACCACACACACAATACATTCACTCACACACACACCACACACACAATACATTCACTCACACACACACCACACACACAATACATTCACTCACACACACGCCCATTTAGGATCTTTTGAACGGCACACCCCGACACCCCCGCCGCTTCGGGTTGGCTTCGCCAGGTCCTAGCGTGGCTTTGTGACCTGCTGCCATCCTACCGCCTGCTGCTGCTGGGGGTGCTTTGCCAAGGGGCGAAAGGGTTGCTAGCTGGACCCTTGAATATGGGTTATTGAAACGTATGTTTGGTGAATTCCTTTTTGCAACCCAACATTATGATTAGTGTTGTTTTTTTTGTTGTTTGTTTTTTTGGTATTTGTTGGTTGCTCGAGGGTCCAGGTACTCGTAACATGTTGCTATTACCATGACTCAACTTTGGTTGGATGCTCCTTTTTAGGTTGGACCCCCCCAAAATAGTGGTTCTCACCAAGAGAAGGCACCCTCAACAAAAGGACACACCCAGTTGGACTCTTTTTATCTCCCAGTGCCCAGGGAGCGAACACGTACCGATCCTGATTAGAGCCATTCGACCAGGCCCATTTTTCTTGTTGCTTGCAAGCTCGCACGGGCATCCCTTTTCTCCACCAACATGGCACCTCTGGGAGGTGGCAGATTGGTTTCCTCTTGGGACCCCATGTCTGGTGCTTTGTTGAGGGGGGTTGCGCCTTTCTGATCCTTTCAGCGTGCCTTCCCAGCCCCGAGCGCTCCACGTGAGCCTACCGCCAGCCGTCGAGTCGAGTTTCGATGTCGCCTGAGGCGTTGGAGGAGGTCGATGCGGCGCTGAGGCGCCTGGAGGAGTTGCCGCAGGAGTCAAAACTTGGCGTCTGAGAGGCTAGTCGCAATGTCGCCATTGGGCAAAATGGGGTTGAGCAGGGCATTGATATGGGATCAGTGCAACCCTTAAGTGACTTTGGGCATGGTGTGGCTGTGTATTTGAATTACACTCATGACTTTGTGGTTCCTTTGGTTCCTATGTTTTCAGCTAGGGCCCCAAGTTCCTTGCCATGATTTCCAGCCGATATGTAAAAGAAACCTGGAAGGAAAAGTGAGGCGGCTAGTAGCTAGGTCCGTATTTTGTAGGATGGTACTACATACAGCCCAGCGCTCGCTTTTCTCCCTCGTTTGGTTTTCGATGTCCGCATCAGGAGCTGCATAAGCTGCGGAGCCAAAACCGCCGCCCGGCTTGGGCTTGGACGTGTTTAGGGAACATGCACTCGGTGGCGGGTTTCCCGATCTTACACTGCAACAAAAAAAGGTGGCTGTGGGTCAAAACCGTTTTGGTACCATTTGGGGGCAGGTGAATTCACCACCCATGTTAGAATCGATTTCAGTGGGGATTGAATCGGACGTTCACTGGGGGTACGATTTGGCTTTTTCCCAGGGCAAGGTGAGTTTTACTGTACGAATCGTTGTGAGAGATGATGATCTTGCTGGGTCACGGGAGCTCACCGAGCAAGTGTTTCACAAAAGAAGTTCGCACCAAGCCACCCGTTTTTTTCTTTTGACATGTGAGCCACGTGCTCAAAACCCGGGCAGATGAAGATTAGTAAGGAACAATGCCCTTGCCATGAATAGCAGCGGATATCTGCTGGGTAGACCATTTTAACACCGGGTTTTGATTGTGACTCATGTGTCTTCTGTACAGGACTTCCATGCAATCCCACTGGTGCGTGGCATCCAGTGGTACTGCCAGTGCCTTTGCAATAAAATTCCTTGGTTTCCTACGCCTATGTCGAACCATAGTCTGTAAACATGAAGCACATGTTTGTTGGTTGGCTCATTGTAGACATGGGTGTGGGTCAAACTCTAAAACCCAGGGTTCCATTTCGGGCCCTAGTTGTGAGCCACACCCACATGGCATATGTTTCCCTGCCAAAAGAACTAAGAACCAAAGGTAAAGAGCTACTCCGATTGATTTTATGGGCCTTCACCTGCTTTATGCTACCATAAAATGGGACCCCCTTAAAAGTGCATCTCCTGTTTGCCCTTGTGACTCCCAAAAGGATGTCCATTCCTTGGCCCAAATTGGGCCCAGCTTTTGTGGGGGTTTCCCTTCAAAATATGTTTGAAAAGATCAAAGAGGCTACCCTCCCGTCCACATGGAAGTGCACAGAACCCTTTTTTCAAGACGTCCCTGGAGAGTTGTGTCAACTTCCAGTGGCAAGAGTTTCAATCTGGTGCGAAGTGGATTTCGTCCAACCACCCTCTGAAAACTTTCGCTCTAGGTCCTAGGTCCCCCAGTGCCCTTCTCTCCCAACTTTTTGGGGGGAGTGTTCCCCTACTAAAACAGACTACACCCAAAACAAGTTGGTACCCTTCCACCCTCTCGACTGGAGGATTTTTCGGTTAGGCACGCTCAGCGGGCAGCTACAAGCCCTGGAGGGTCTCTCCAGGATGCAGCTGGAGGAAGCCTGGCTTCTGGGACCGAAAAGTCCGCGGGGCGGGGAGGCTCCCCCCCCTACTCCAAACGCCCTCTTTTTTCAGGGTATCATGTCGAGCCTCCACTAAAAAAGGAGGTATTTACCTTGGAAAACCAGGTTTTCCCAAAAATACCCGGCCAAAAGCGGGTATTTTGAGTAGGGGGAGCTCCACGCATTTGGACCAAACGACATGGATAGAAACTTGGTACCCTCTTTTCACCTGGAGCCTGACGTTGGGACCGGGTTCCTTTAAAAGGAAAATGGTTGAAACCAGGACCTTCCAGTCAGGCTCCATGTTAGTTGGTGGCAGGGCAAGCGGCTTGACCCCCTGTAATTTCCCAACATGGACCAATTGTCTTGTGACAGGATCTTTGGAGCAGTTCTGTACCATGGCAACAGTATGTAGCAGTGGCATACAAGAATACACTGCGTTTTATTTATGATTGATACTGTTTATGGTCATTGTGCTTGTGTGTTGTTTTTCTTTTTTTTGTATGTGAAACATGGGGGTTCGTGCAGTCTCTGGCATGACCGAAAATACCCATGACGGTTCCTTCGGGGATCCTAGCTTTGTTTGGTGGAGCACATAGGTTGCGGGGGGTTACTGCAGCTTTGATGTGAGGGGTTGGACCAGATCTGCGGACTCTGGTGGTCGGAATTCGCCTCATTTGGGGACCCCAAAAATGGCTGATGTTGCGGTTGGTTGTGTGGCTCCCTAAATTGAAAGCAACATCAGGTAAAGTAACAAACAGAAGATACATCCTCATTCATCAAGTGAGATTTCGCCTTGGGGGACCCCAAAACAGTTGATCTTGCTGTGGGTTGTGTCCCCAAAAGAGAAGACAAAATAGCAAGCAACACACAGAAGATACATATTCATCCACTCGTGAGGCGGGCAACCTGGGCTTTTGACGAAATCGGCCAGTTCATGAGACTTTTATGTCGAGTTCCGAATCTTGACCAACACGGTGGATGAAAAGGGAGATAGCCACAGTGAGGTGCGGTGGGCACTTCTATTGTCAACCTGGGCTAATTAACCACATATTAATATATATATATACATATGTAGATGTAATGCGTGGGTGGCTATGAACATTTCATATGGCAAACAAATCGAGTCACGTCGCATGTATGCGCATTGGCCTTGCATCCTGGGACCGAGTTTTAGACCAGCAGGTGCCTTCTTGGCAGGTGGTTGTTGCCACTGATGCACAGTTGCTTCAAACTTATTTACAATCTTGCACATCTAGATTTATTAGCAATATTAGCTGGAACGATCCTATCAAGTCCAATTCTATCATTTCTTCATTAACGGATTAGTGTATCGGTATTTAATCGTCTTAAGTTGCACAGTACAGATATAAAATCATATTTACTGCCGTTATGTATATTAGCTAGATTTGTAGTAGTAGGTGCGCATTCTTCCGTAACAACTCAAGGGCGCCTGCTCCCAGGTCTGCTGCGCAAAAGGCGCGGCGTGACGATGACCGGCTGCAGTTCGAAAGGAGGGAGACCCAGAAGGAGGCGATGTCTTAGCCTCCGAGATGCTTCCGGCGGATGGCTCGCTCGCATGCGCTTGGTTTGTCTTCGGAGCCATGGATCTCGGGGATTCGGTTGGCGCAGCGTGAGCAGAGGCTTGCTGCATTTCGAAGAACGCTTTACAGTCATGTTATTGTCAGAAAGTGGCGGCAACTGCGTGCTCAGGAGACCAGGAGTTGAAGACTAACCGACTCAAGGGGGAGTGCCATTGCATGTCTTCAAGAAGTCACATCAACAATCCGCAACCCACCCCCCCTTAGGACTAGCGGAATAGTCCTGGATCCCGCTGATATCGTTGGTTTCTTGTGCCAGGCAAGGAGGAGCCTGAAAGAGACAGCGCCTTGGTTGCAGGCTGGTTGAAATACATCCAGATGCAGAGAGAGAGAGAGAGAGAGAGAGCGCGAGACAGGGGGGTCTTTTTGCCACCTTTTGAGATTGGGGACCCCTCAAAAAGGAATCCTTCAAGGAGGTCGATCATGTTTCCACCAAAGGTGGCAAAAAGACCCTGGAGAGAGAGGGAGAAAGAGAGAGAGAGAGAGAGAGAGAGAGAGAGAGCGAGAGAGAGAGAGCGAGGGAGAGAGACCCGCAGCGGTATGAATCCCTTCTGCACAGCGCACTCTGTTAACAAGTTTGTCTCGCGCCGAGGAACGAAAGCAGTTGCAGCTTCAACAGGACTGCGTTTTTGCGATGAAACACGTCGTGTTTTCCACCAAGAACAGCTTTGCTGCCCGAGGGAGCTGTGCTGATCGGAAACTTGCTGACAGAACGTTCTTGCTATTGGGCACTTCAGGGCAGGAGGGCACAGCAAGGACGAATTACTTGAGCCAGCAAGCTTGTAGACGCAGCAACATTTGTCATGCGGTCTGCATTGTTAGTTTCAGAGTTTCTTTTCCAGGGTTTGTTGTCCCATCCGGTTTTTCCTGCATTGCAATTCTGATAATGGATGTGAGTTCCAGAGTTTCTGTTCAGTCATGGGGCCCAGGGGGGAGGGAGGGGAGGGGGAGGAAGCCCAAGTGCGCCCTTAAGCCGTTATGAAAGCCTTATTTCGCGCTTCTTTGGGCTCCCTCCCCCTCCCCTCATCGCCTTTAACAATGTAGTTTCCACTTGAATGTTCAACCCAACTAGAAAGTATATGGGGGTTGATCAAAAGGTCCTTTATATGGGATGACCATGAGGGAAAACCACATGGGAAAAGTTACCCATGGTCATTTGGGGGCCTTATCAGCCCCCATGAAAGGGTTTCTGCCGCATAGGAAGCTCAGCCCTTTCTTCCATCAGGACCAGCTGCAGGAGCTGCGGAAGCTCGCGGAAGAGAGAAGCGCGGCCCTGGAGGACGCAATTTGTGGAGTCTTCCCCCTACTCAAAATACCCACTTTTTTCAGGGTACTTTGGGGAAACCGATCGGTTTTCCATAGCAAATACCTCCTTTTTGGGTAGAGGGTCGGCATGATACCCTGAAATCAGAGGGTATTTGGAGTAGGGGGTTCTATGGCAACCCGTTCAGCGGATTTCATGTGGATTCCAGGCGTTTTCCCTATTGTTTGGTGGACTCCTGTGTAAATATGGTCAACCCCAACACAATTTGTGCACTAGGGTTGGGCCTTTGGGCCACTCTTTGCTTTTTGTCGACTGAACTACTATCTATCAAAATAGTGCTTTGAATAGTCGGACCTTCAAAAAAGGGTCTCTTCATATCCTTAGAAGGCAGGCGAACTATGATTGCCCCTCGCAGCAGGTCTTTGGATCATGGCATGCATGGGTGTGTTGCTTTTACGGCAGCGCCCCAACATTTGGGTGCTTCTTTTGGTTTTCCTCTAGAACAAATCAGCGGTAGCCTCAGAAAAAGGACGCACCCATATGTGGGCAAGTGTAAAGATGTCACCACTTGGCTTTTCAACTTGCGCCAAACGATGAAACCTGCGAGTCGGGGGAAGGGGGATGCCCCTTCAATAAGATCCCACGCAAATGAAATGCGGGGTGCTAGATGTGACGCAAACCAACAGCCTGACATGTGTCAAAGCTGGTGCTTTCGTCCACAAGAAACCAACCATTTTCTAAGGATATGTTTTCCACATCTCGTTACCCGTTCTCAAAGACTGTATTGCCTTGCGGATTTGCCAGAGGTCTACTGACCATGTTACGTGAAGGTTTGTGTGCTGCTTGCAAACCCTGCATTCGTCAGACACAAACTGGCCATGTTCAACGGCGTGTCAAATCCTAAAAATTGTCCTCAGAAGCTTGCGTTTCCCCCGTCCGCATCCATCTGATTCGTCCCACCCCTCTCCAAGCCTGCCGTTTCTTTCCACCTAAGTTTGAAAGCTGCACCAGTTTGAAAAGCACCCCCCAGCGCCTGTTTCTGGGATTCCCGTTGACACCTAAGGATCGCTGGGCAAAAAAAACAAAAGCTACTTCCATTTGCTTAAGAATATTTTGTATTTTCCACTCTTGGTTTTAGAGGGAATCTATCACTACTGGACACATTTTTTATTTTTCCAGGGGTCGCAAAACCAAATGGAAGCCCATGGGTTGAAAGGAAGCTGATCTCGATGAGTCCCGTGCCGAGGAGCTCCAGCTGCAGAGCCAACAGGTGAAGGTGGAGAAGTGCCACTTGCAGCTGCAGGTGGACAGGCGAGCCATGAGCCTCTGCAACTGGGGTGAAGGGAGGAGGTTTGGCAAACTGGGTGCGGTGAGATTGTTTTGTTTGTTTTCCCTCCGCCTCCCACACCCCCCCCGCTTCCCTACAAGCCCCCCCCAAAAATAGATAAATTAAATCAACAAAACACTGTGCCCTGCAAAGACTGCGCCTTGTCTCAAAACCCGAGTGCTGGCCGAAAAAGCAGTCCTTGGCAGGTGTCGGTGAGAGTGAGTGTTTCCTGCTGGTTTGTTTGAAACGTCATCCAATGTTTGCTCTCACCCTTATAGACTTGAAATCGCTGGAGGGAGTGATTGAGAGTTGTATAAGAATCACTCCACCTTGCCTGTTGCATCCCCTTCCGTTCGGCCATAGTATCCAGGAAGGACAACGGCGCACTCGCTCGCTCACTCACTCGCTCGCTCTCTCACTCACTCGCTCACTCGCTCACTCGCTCACTCACTCGCTCGCTCACTCACTCGCTCGCTCACTCACTCGCTCGCTCGCTCACTCCCTCGCTCGCTCACGCACGCACGCACGCACTCACTCTCTCTCACTCACTCACTAACTCACTCACTCAATGTTCCACAAACATCAGCAAACTCGCGCAGTTTCCCATGTCCATTGAACCGCTTCCCTTGCCGACAGACAAGAGCAGTGCGTCTTTGTGTGTGTGTGTGTTCTGCCGATACCTTCTCACATAAGTATGCGCTTGTCACACGAACTCATACCTTGATCGAACCGAAACCAGGTGGTTGACCCCACCTACGCTGCCCAGATTTAGGGTTTTGGGCGCTCACCTGTATTTCATCGCAGCGCTGGAAGACTCAGGGGCCCTTGCGAAGCCTTCAACATGGAGCTTCCTATTCAGCGCATGCGAGGTACAGGTGACCACCCCCAAACCCCCAAAAACTGGGCAGCGTAGATGTGGTCAACCACCTGGTTTCGTTTCATTTGGTTGTGGAAATTTGGAAAGGCCTTACAACGATGTTGGCAGGAACAACAGTCAAAGTGTTTTGGGCGCTGCTTGCCTAGTACCTTTCTGTTTTTCCTTTTTTTCTCAACTCTTTCACTCACCTTTTAAAGGATGCTTTCCACATAAATGTGTAGAGCTCGTCCATTGGCATGTTTCATTGGCACGGAAGGCGCAGATCGACGCTCGGCAGATTTGCTTGGCAGGTTGATGGCTGAGAGACAGCCACTGGAGCAAGGGCTGGAGACGCGCAGGGCTTAGACCCAGGGCATTGGCACCATGCAGAGGTTACCCCCAAGTGGTTTGGATTGGGTTTCCCTTTGGGTTTCCTTTGAAACCACCAAAAAGAAAGGTACCAACTCCAAAAACAGGACAGACCCTTATATCAGGTAACCTTTAATTGGTGGTTTAGATTGGTTTGGATTTGAATTCGAAGCCCTGGCTGCTGTAGAGGGTAAATGCGCAACCACTCCAGAACACCAACAAACCACCGGGCTCCAAACCACCAATTGGAGGAAAGCTGATAAATATCTCCGATGAGTGGCCTAACGACACTTGCAGCGGGCGTCAGTTTGGTCGGCTGTGAAACGACAGACGTCCCCGCCCAAATCATCCTATATGGAAGCGGTGGGGATGCAACGATGTATCTAGGGGTTGATTCCCCATTCTTTTCAGCCATCGTTCTTTCAACAACCGGCCATTTCCCCAGGGTTTTGGTGGTTTTCAAACAAGAAGGATCCCTGGAAAGAATGGAAATGGAAGTTACCCCTAGAACCCTCTTCCCGTACATGTTGCTTGACCGAATATCTCCAGATCGATTGAGGGGATCGCCTAGCTGAGCGGTTTCATGGCGTATCGTGCGAGTCCGCTGCTCTGGTCGTTTCGAGGCTGCGCCAAGAGAACACCCAGCTGCAGCTGGAGATTTCTCGGCCCTTACCTCAAGCTCCCTCTGACGCTTCCCTGAAGCTGTGGGGTGTCCTTTTGGTTTCCCTTTAAAACCACCAACAAAGGGGTACCCTCAAAAAAGCACACCCAAATGAGTGTGTCTCTTTGTGATGGCACGCAGGGTGCCACGCAGAGCATGGACTTTGCCTAATGTAACTGTCTCCGTTTTGGTTTCAATGCTGTGTTGCGGAAGCAAGGAATGCTCAGTTGAAATAAACCAAATATTAGGCCTTTAGGCTCCTCATGTTTGGTCTCAATGTTTGTGAAACACCGAGTGAGTGCCTTGGGATGGATATGAACAGCACACCAAAAGAAGATAAACCCAAATTGAAAGGGATGGAGAGGGCCCCTGTACAAAAGTCTTGCACATTCCCGTTTTATAGAAGCCAGCAACTCACCAAAGGCAGCCGCTTTGTTGTAGTATGTGCTTTTACGTTGCATTGCCTCACACACCATGATACAATAGAATCTCGACATATTAATTGTAATGATCGGGCTTGCTGCATCTGTTATTTGACGGCGGAGGGCAGTGCTGAGCGCCTTTGACAGCCTCAAGACAACCAGTCTTCGCTGGAGCAAAGCAATAAATTGGTTCAGGAAATCTGTTTGATGTCCTCGCTTCGGAGCGGTGGCACTGTGCCCACTGGAGGATGCCAGTTGTCTCCTGCTGGCATATTCCATGCATCTGGGTGAAGTATAACGACCTCACACGACCTCGCCCCAAATGGGTGGTTTATGTGGGGAATGGCCCCCCAACCACCTTATTTCAGGCTGGTGAAATATTATAGTTCACCCAGATGCCTGCCGCTTTGTCCAAAAACTGCTGGTCCTCGTTTGGCATCCCGTTCCTTTCAAAGGACCCAGGCACTGTGGGCTCGGAAGCTGGCTTTTCTGTTGCCCAAATATGGAATCCGGGAGGTTTCCTTTGAGCTGGTGGCAGTGCAATTTGAGAAACGGCTGCCTTGGGCTTCGGCTTCTTCCTCTCACTTCCTGAGCTCCTGGACTTCGAACTTGGTGGGAAGAAGCAAAATGGCGGTAAATCAGAAGCTCGGACTTCTTTTGGGAATAAAAACATGGTGGTAACTAAGAAGCTCAGACTCCTTTGGCCAAAAGCCACTCAGGAAGTGGAGTCCTAAGAAAGGGATCTTAGACAAGAAGGGCTCACAGAACTGTGATGAGTCCTTGGGAGTTTTGACTCAAATCGATGGCCCGCGCTGACCTCGCAAATGGGTCAGACGGGAGTCTGAACATGCCCGGAGCTTCTCATGAATCTAAGGGGTTGGTTCCTCTTCCATTCTTTTCAGCCATCGTTCTTTTTAAAAGCCAGCCGTTGCCCCTCTGGTTTTTGGAGGTTTTCTGGAAAGAAGGATCCCTTGAAAGAATGGGGAATTTACCTAGAATGAAGCACGTTTAAGGGATCTGGGATCTATCTGCCTATGTTTGGCGAGATCGCCTGGACATCAGGATAGCTCATTTCAGATTTGGACTTAGAGTCCTTTACATGGGATCTCCCTTGGGGTCAATTGGGGACCCCAAATGGAGAAACAAAAATCAACCCCCAGTTGCAGAAACGGGTCGACTCAAATGGCCCATCCGGATGTTGTTGTTGTTTCTTTTTTTTCAAAAAAAGTCGCTGCGCATTTTTTTGTCAGGCTGACGCTGCAGCTGGCCCAAGACAGCGACCCGTCGCCGGCGGCCCAAGATCTGTGGCATTCAAAGGCTGAAGCAGGAAGGCAAGCAGAGAACCATGCATGTGCCGAAGTACCCTTTTGGTATGTTGTTAAAAAAGACACATTTTTATCTCTGAGGTTTTTGTTGCACGTTGGTTGCAACAAACAAAGGGATTGTGGAAATACCCTTTTGAAAAGGACATCCAGAAAAGGACATCCAGAGGAAACTGAACTACCTGGAGACGTCCGGCTCATTGTGAGACAATATGCCCATGTGACTGTCAAGACGTTGATATTGAATGGGGAGCCTCAAACATGGTTGGTGGGGATGCCATGTAAACAAGATCTACTAAGGGTCGCACCAATGAAGATTCGGCCCCGTGATTGCTGGGTTTTGTTGGTAGCTTGGGAACCACAGAAATACCCTCCGAAGAAAGGCAAAGAAGCACACAGGCCTTTTTTGGTTAGACTATTCTCCACTTGCACAGGAGGCATGTGGGCTTTCATCTTAGTTGGGAGGGCAACACGTTCAAGTTTCACACCCAATATAGGGTTTTGTCCGGTAGTTTGTGGCTTATTTGGGACATGTCACCCAATTGCCCCATTAAAAAAAAAAACGAGGGGACTTACTACCTTTCCCAAGTCCTCTAGCAGTTCTCACTCCCTCATCTAGTTCCGCCCATGGGTTGGTCCGAGCAAACCGCTCGCTCAGAGAGGCCACCGCGGGCCAGCAGCAAGAAGCACGCGGAGGTCCAACCCGAAGTGCTCGGGCCCGAGCTCGATTCGAGCATGTGGCTCAAACCGACTCGGTGGGTATCCTTTCTAGGTCCCTCAGTAGGGCCCTTTTACCCATTTTTGGTTGGGAGGGTTCCCCTACTAAAATAGACTGCAGAAAAAAGTTGGTACCCTTATTCTAAGCTCTCTGCTGGAGGACCCAGCTATTGGTTTCACTTTGCAAACCTTGCAAAGATGTGTTCCTCTTTTGGGACAGGCCCATGTGGGTGTGTTGTTTGTGTTGTTTTTTGGGAGTCAATTTTCCATGTCCAGTTGGCCGCGCGCCACAACTCCCGCACGAAGCACGAAGCAGCGACAATCAGGTTTTCTTCCGCCGTGGGGAACAACTGGGACAACCAGGGAGCTGTGGATGCCTCTTCGAATTATTGCAAAACCAACCCCAAAGCATCGCAATTTAGTGGGGTGTTTAGGGCATCCACCTTCCCCCCTACTCAGAACACCCGCTTTTTGCAGGGCCGACATGGTACCCAGAAAAGAGCTGGTATTTGGAGTAGGGGGTATTTAGGGCATCCGCCCATAGCAAAGACTTGAGAGAACTTCATGCAATCACGTGCTGCATCAAGACCTGCAGGGCCTCTCCATGAGACGAACCAAGCTGTAAACAAGCTCTTGGTTCGCTTACCATGAGACCTTCCGGGCATCTGTTGGACAAGAAGGCGGTTCGCTCTTCTAAGCTGCCAAGATGACATGAGCTGCCTGACCATGACCATGGCTTGATTGGGGCTGCTGGAACATGCGTGCGTGGCAAGATTAAGGACCTCTCCTGCCCTACCATATGGGTGTGGCTCAAAATTAAACAGGAGGGGTTGCGCAGGTTTTGGTCCATGTTTTCACTTACATTTTGGTACCGTTGTTTTTTGGTACCGGTTTTTTGAGCCACAGCCATATGGCCATGTAGTATCTGTTCCTTTGTTTTAGGGTCTAATTTTCGAGCGCGCAACGTCACTGGGCACTAGCGGTGGGTTGCTCGGCCCAGGCCCGAGGCGAAGCGGGAAAAGCCGCCAGAGAGTCTGGGAAGAGTGCGCCTTGGGCGAAATGAGTTGGCCCTTCCCTGTATTTGCTGTGCGCGCTTTCTCGTGTGTGTACTGATGTTTGATTGTCCGTTGTGCAGACTGAGCTTGCTTTTTGCTTGCAGATTTTCACATTGCCTTTTCGTAGGTCAAACCGCCATGCGGCTCCCAGAGTACGGCTGAAGTCTGTTGAGAAGTAAACTGCGGCCGGGGCAGTTGGTACTTCGCTCAGCCACTGCCAGCACATATGCCCTGCAATGATATCCAGCTGTGGCCACCCTATGTTTCTTTCATTTTCTCTCACACACCCATCCTTAGCCCGAAGGTCGCATGTTGAGCAAGTACACCACACAAATTGGCGGCAGTGCAATCTGGGGCGGGCCACTTGCCTTGTACTGCAACCTAGGTTGATGCTCACATTGACCTAAACAACACTTCTTTCTGCTTAAGTTAGTGTTGTTTGTTATTTTCTCTTGTTGGTTGTCAAAAGAATCTATCCCTAATTACTGGACATACATGCCATGTTGCCTCCAGCTGGCTTAAGCAAATGGAAGAACATCTGAATTGAGGCCGACGGTACGAGCGAATAGCAAGAAGCTGGAGATCATGCCTGAGCTGCGCGGAGCCTGGCTGGAGATCTGGAGAAGACCAAGACTATGGCAATTTCATGCAGTTAGCTTGGACTGTTTCAGAAACCCAGAGGGTCCGTTGGTACCTCCTGAGGATGGCTTTTGGGGGGTAAAACGGGATCTAAGTACCTCCTTAGAAGCTACTTGGACCCTCTGTGAAAGGCAGAAGCCACGTTTAAGGTCTCCGTGCACCATAAGGCTGAAAAAAGAAAGAGATGCCATTTACAAAGAGATCGGGTCTGCTTCACCCAAGGTGGGCCTCACTTTTGATGTTTTTGAGCCTGGCGAGTGGCTTGCAGTGTTTGGTATCACATCTTTGTGGCTGGGTCGTGGCGTGAGCCCATCCGGTTCCTACCATGGGAACTCAGAACTTCTGAATGGTTCGCATGTGCAACGAGCTTCAATCATTTTCCCATTGTTTGTCAATAGCGAGTAAGTGTCCTTTGCGTGTGGCGAGTCGCTAAGGCCCTGGTTCAGTTGAGCTTTCAGAGAGGGCTGGAGCATACTGTGGATGGACGAAATCGTGCGCCACTTGGAAACCATGGGAAACCATTGTTCGTTGGTATTTACATGGGAATCACCATTCCAGAGTTTCTTAGGTCCACAGTAGGACCTTCACCAGTTGGCCATCTGATGGTGAAGCACCAGGGTCTTGGCGAAGCCGCTCTTTCGCCTCAGGCCCGAGGCAGCACCCATTCAGCTGGAAGAGGGAGAGGTGCCGCAGGCTCAGCTTGAAGGGCGCGCGATTCAGCAGAGGGGTAGAATCGGTTCTGTGCTGATGATGTTTTCTTGGTGGCTCTCGGCCAGGTTCCTTAGCTTTTTAGCTTCAAAGCTTGTTAGCTATTTTTAGCTTTTTAGCTTTTTAGTGGGGATGTCTGAAGTTTCTAGGGGTTGAGTCCTGTTCCATTCCGTTCAACCATCGTTCTTTGCAAACACCGATCGCCGTTTTTCCCTGGGTTTCTGGAGGTTTTCTAGAAGGATTCCTGGAAATAATGGAAATGGAAGGTAGCCCTCGAAAGTTGAGTGCACATCCCGAGACAGGCGAAAGCCATCCCGAGACAGGCTATTGCTTTCAAAATGCCTGACTGATCGCGTCCTGCTTGCCCATTTGGTGGGATTTCACATCAGTCGCTTTTTTGCCCTTGGGAATGCGAAGAACTTGGCTGTTTTCCCAATTTCCCGTTTCACACAAATTCTAACCACTGTTTCCCTCGGTTGAAATTGGTTTCAATTCCCAGCCCATGTTTCATCCCTGGCACGGCTGGGTTTTTCGCCGTTCGTGCTGAGGATTGGCAGTCTTTCCAGGCGTCTATCCAGGTCAGGCGCCCTGTCTCAGGCGCGATGCGGTCGATTTGACCACCCCTTTTGTCCATCAATTGGCAAGTCCCCAAGCAAACGGGCAGAGGGTTCTTCGTGAAGCTGTTCTCAGAGCTTTCCAGTTGTTTGAATTGAAATGTGGGCATTGGCAGGGTGTCGCATTGACTCCGACAGCATGCTGGGTAGACGGGAGGCTCGGAGGAGTTGGCCCGGACTTGAGGGTGGGTGGCGGGGGTGGGTGGGTGGAGGGATGGTTGTGTTTGGACTGCCACTTGTGGCAGACGTATGCGGGGGTAGTGCTGGCTTGCCATGTTCGACACGCACGGATTGCGAAGAGGACTCACCTTGTGAGGCTCATCAAAGTGGATGCGCATCAGCGCCTCATGTTGGTGATTCCATACGTTTCGGGCTGTTGTCGTGGTGGGTCAACGGGATGACAGCAAAGATGCCTGGAACAAGAAAAAGGCATCGCAGGTCCCGATTGAATGGGGAAGCAGAAAGCTCAGCTCTATTTTTCGGGTCAGAGCCACACACGAGCCGCGAAGCCTGAGAGTTTGCCCTTGTCAGCCCGCCTCCTTCTTCGCGTCGCTGAAGAGGGACCCAAGTGTAGCTGCGGAGGACCGGGCGGGCGTTGCCGGAAACGTGTGAGAGTCGTTCTAAGACTTGTCCGTGCTCTTGTTTCCTTTTTTGAATTGGCGCTTTCTGTCTCTCTCTCTCTCTCTCTCTCTCTCTTTCCGGTTTGTGTAGGGGTTAAATTGCAGAAGCCCTTGTAGAGCCAACTGATATCTAGCGCTTGGTTCCCGTGCTTCCGTAAGTAGACGTAGCGGCAGGGCTCTTGTTTGAGGAGGTGCGGTGGGAAGAGGATGATCTGTCCACATGAGCGGCTTTTCGCCTCAAGGGCAATGAGGGAAGGGATTCGACAGGAAGAAAGACGTGTTTCCCGCGCAAGCTCGCAGAAGCTCATGTGGAAGCCCGAGCGAGTTCCGCCCGCCGCAAAAACCTGTCCTGTGTGAGTGTGTGACCCGTCCAACTTTTGACAAGCACAGTGCCTCGACCGCAAGGGTGTGCTCAGTGCGTGCCCGGCGATGTAAGTATACTCAGCGCCTGCCTCAAGCGCGCAGAGTTTATACCCAAAACTTTTTTGGGAACAAGGCCGACGTGCTTTGAGAACTCTAGGGTGATTCCCCATTCTCTTCCCCCATCCTTCTCTTTAGATTCCGCCCATTTTCCTAGGGCTTTCGGCCCAGTGTTGGAAGAGAAGGTTGTCGCTTTCAGCGCTGGGCAAGCCAAAAAGTTAAAGGCAGGAGACGTTTAGAACCAGCCTGTGGGTTTGTCTCCCGAAAGGGGTTAGAACCTGCAAAGAAAACCACCACGTGTTGGTATATGTGTCAGACCAGACTCAACAAACAGAGTGTTTTTGTTTTTCTGTTTTCCCTGCAAAACCAATCTGAAAAGGCTAACCGCAACAAACAAACAGCCAGTTGCTTAAAAGTTTGCTCCGGTGTTTGGGACCCCTCCCCCCAAGGTGTGCCAACCAAGCCTTTTTTTTCCTCAGTCATGGAAGCGAACAGGAGGCCTTTTTAGGAAGAGCGTGGTCTTCCAAGATTGTTGGAAATATAGTAAGTTCCGATTGCTGAGGTTTTGTCCACTTGGTTTCAAGTGGAGGTGGTGATTAGTTGTTTAGGCAAAATATCTATGTTTAGTGTACCATGAGCTTATGGACGACTGACAACTAAGACTTCGAATTGTTCAATCGTTTGCTTCTTCACGATTGACTGCATTGCTGCCACTGTTTCATGTTGGGGTCTGACTTTGGACACCCTTCGCCGTTTTTAGCGATTTGCCCATTCGGATAGGGTTGGCTGCTTTCTTGCTGGCACGATTTACCATTTTGTCGGTGTTGTTGAAAGGGAAGGCAAACGGAAACACATGTTTTGAGACTCACATGACACCTAATTGAAGGTGTCAAACAAACTGGGGACCCAAGGAAGCAAGCCAGTAATTTAATTTCATCATTGCATACTATAGTGGATATTGGATCAGAACCAAGCGTTTCTAGCTCATAATTTGTTAATGTTGAAACGCATGTGGAAACATGAACTGTGTTTGGAATGCTTGACCACAATGCCAATTGCCATTTTGGCTCAAGCATTGCCCTGGGTTCCTGGAACCCAATCTGTGTGAAAAAATTTGAGTTTGGACACTTTCGAACCTAACCCCGATCAAGCAATGGCTTCCTCGGCAACCTCGGCCACCTCCTTTGAGCTGATTGAGGACCAGACACTCACCGTGGAGGAGGTTGAAATGGCCAGCCAGGAGGCCCAGGAAATTCGCACACGCGAGGCGGCAGTGGCGGCCGGCCTGGTTTTGGACGAGCCCGAGGCCCCCCCGTCGGCTTCGGCTACCGATGTGATGAAGGACCTCTCCAGTGCACTGGAGCGTCTCCGTGTGGCATTTGCCACGCCGACTTCCGGCTTGGGTGCCCCTGGCCCCGCCGAGGAGGAGGACAAGGACATGGAAGACGCGGACGTCATGGAGCGGGCCACGCCACCGGAGGAGGCACAGACGCCACCCACGAAGAGGCTGAGGGGTTTCGTGGCGGCTTCCCAGAAGACCACGGCTCATGTGAACAAACCGGTCTCCTTGGTGCCGGTTGAGGGCCGACCCGGTTACTTCAAACTGGTGGACCTCCCAGACCTTTTCCCGGTCCTTCCGGCATCGGCGGCCACTTTGCTGAGGGACGTCACGGTGGAGGAGGCGGTCTCCCTGTTCCACAAGTTTGTCGGGAAGAATCTCACGGAGGACCTGGTGATTCGTATCCTGGAGGCTTATGTCCCGATGAAGATCCAGATCCGGCAGGAGGAGGTCTGGGCCTCGCAATTCCAGAGGAACAAGGCGTGCATTGGCACCCAGCGAATGCACAGGCTTGATGCAGGCCATTCCGATTACAAGTTCATGTGCAAGGCATGCGGCACGGGGTGGCCAGAGGCAGCCAAGCAGTGCTGGGTCTGCCCAGGCAAGGAGTTCGTCCCCTTCCAGGCACCCTCGGCCACCTATGAGGCGGACGGCATCACCTACAACCTGCTCATCGTGGAGGGCAAGCCGACCTGGATCCAGCAGTGGGAAGGGGGAAGCCTGGGTGCCGCTGGCCCCGGTGGTACCCGGGCACAGGCCAACCGCAACTTGGTGGACGGCACGGTCCTGCTCCTCCGAAAACGGACACGGCAGATGAGATCACCATGGTCCCGCTTAACAGGCGGGTGGACAGTCCATGGAGGCGGACGACGAGGCGTTGAAGGTCCGGGAATGCCAGGAGATCAAGGTCAAAGTGCAGCGGTCCCTGAAGGAGGCGGAGGCTCAGAGCTTCCAGCTCTACCACCCCCAGGTGGACCAGGCGATCCGGAAGAAGGAGGAGCTGCATAAGGCCTTGAGGGAGCATCGGGAACCGACTCCGGAGGAGTCCTCGGCCAGGCGGCGGCACAAGGAGTTGGTCACTGAGGAGATGCTGGACAATGAGATGGCTATCCTGGCGCCTCTCCAGGAGGGCATGCAGGCCCTGCCGTCAGAGGAGGTGGCCAATGAGGGAGGAGCGGTTCAAGGCCAAGCTGAGAGACCAGGGAAGGGCGTTGACGCCAGCCAGGCATTGGCTGAGGCGATGGGCTCCATTCAGGAGGCTCAGGCGGCGAACAAGCGCACCCAGGACACCAACCAGGCATGGATGCTCAACCACACTCTCAAGCTCTTGGAAGTGTCGGCGTGGCCGGATGATCTCAGGCAGGCCCTGGAGAGGGGGCTATTCTGCCCCCTGGAGCTGGATGACCCCGAGGACATCCCCCAGGTGGGAGACATGAAGGAGAAGTATGTCCCCTACATCAGGATGCTCAGAGCGTCGCAGAACCCATGGCACCAGGAGGCGCTGCTGGAGGAGATGCCCGATCTGGTGGCACCGGCCCCCCCCAAGGGTGCCACTGGCCCCGGGGGGGACCAGCCAATGTCACAGCAAGACCTCGACTCGGAGGAGGGCAAGCTGTCCTTGATCCTCTGGGCGATGAAGAGGCACCAGGGAGAACTCCGGATGTTTGGGGGGATTTGGAAGAAGCACGCAAGCGGTGAGATCCCCCGGGGCGCTGACCAGCAGTTCAAGCTCACGCCGGAGGAGCTCCTGGCCCTGGAGCGCAGGACTCACCCACTCACGTGCGAGCGGGACCACATCGACCCAGTCATCTACACGGCCTTGGAGATCCGAGCGCAGGTGAACCGGGGCGAGCGCCCGGCGCCGGAGCAGGTGGTGGGGATCTTCTGGGCGAAAGGTGATGGGGTGTTTTGGGCCAGGCAGACGAGAACGTGGGACCTGCCGAGCCTGACGGGGGTGTACGCCCACAGGTTCACTTTCAAGTACATCTACTCGGCCTGGACCACTTTCGCGTTGATCGTGAAGACGCAACGCCGGGGCCGCAATGCGGAGGGCTCGACCTCGGACAAGTGGATGGGCAACATCCTCCAGATGAGGAAGGAGGCGGTGCCCTTCCTGGAGAGCCTGGGCATCCCCAAGCCGCGCAGCAAGGAGGAATGGAGCTACATCTTCAAGGAGATGGGGACATTTTTGGCGGCCAAGAATTTCATCGTCAACTGCCCGTTGCCCGTGATGGAGATCCCAGTGGCCCCCATCCATGACAGTAAGGAGGCGCTGCGTTTCAGGGCGGTTTGCGACGAGCGGATCACCCTCCCGCTGGCATCGCTGAAGGCCTTCGACTCGGTCTACACCAAGTTGGTGGCGGGCCTGAGCAAGTCTTCGATGGTGGAGGTGAAGGTCAACTGGCGCTGCAACGTGGTCCACGACTGGGTGGAGCAGGTCCCGCAGGAGGCGGCGGGGGCCTTGTACGACAGGTTGGGTTACTCCCAGGACCTCATCCGGCAGATGGGTTGCTCCCCCCCTTGGGTGCCTCTGGCCCCGGGGGAGGAGCGGCCAAAGAGGCGGACCCCAAGGCCAAGGTCCTGGGGGGGGCAGACACCACGCTTCGCACACCAGACCAGGGCACCAGGCGATACCCGCCCATCACCACGGCCACGGTCACGGCGGTCGCGGGCCGGAAGTACATCAACAAGCACTTCCCCAAGGAGACGAAGCATGTGTTTTGGGCCTCCGTGGGGTGTGGCTTGGTCTTGCCCAGCATCAGCGCCTGGGAGGTGGTGAGCAAGGAGAAGTTCAAGACCACCGGGGGCTACATGTGCAGATTTTGCAAGGGCTTCTGGAGGGCGAGCCGCGGGGGGACCAGGCTGCTCCAGATCACGCGGTGGCACAAAGACAAGGCCACATGCTTGCAGCTGGTGATGGACGAGCCCCCGGAGCAGCTGTACGATCAGTGGATCCGTGACCGGATGGAGTTCTACAAGAGGGTGGAGCCGACGGAGCCTCCCAGGGATGAGCGGCTGGTCCTGGGCGACGCGAGCACCCCCCGCATGCGCTTCAGCTCCTCGAATGGCCTGGGGGATGTCTCCACTGCCTTGTGGACGGTCATTTTGAGCAACCCGGAGAAGTCGGGGCTGGCGGCCATCCACTCGGTGGCAAAGGAGGCGATCCTGAAGGGTGAGAGTCGCTAGGTCTGGTCTCACAGCTC